ATTTTATTTTATTTTATTTTATTTTATTTTATTTTATTTTATTATTTTATTTGTCAATCGCTAATAGGTATGAGCATAAACATGAGTAAGAACACAGGAAACAGGTATGAATAAATGGGGACAATAGGACAGAGACGGTTGGCACGATAGTGCACTTATGCACGTCCCTTACAGACCTCTTAGGAATGAGGTGAGGTCAACAGTGATAGTTTAAGGTTAAAGGAGTGGAGGTTATCTACTGTTTCCTCGGAATTTGTACATATTCCCTATTTTCTTTGTGTGAATGTTAGGATTTTTATAGAGGATGAGGGATGTCCCCGTAGAGGACAGGCAGCTGGAGAAAAGTGGAGGCATCCCAATTCCAATGGCCAGCACTGCTTGTAGTCCAGGTTTGTCAAATTCCCGGCTCACAGGCCGGATGCATCACACACTGGTCTCTCTCTCTTTCTCTCTCTCTCACACACACGGTTTAGCAAAGGGGGGAAAATGTCCTGATGCATCACATGATGCCGCCATGATGATGCGAGTTTGATGCCCCTGTTCTACTCCTTTTCCTTTGATCAGATACAGGGTGGTACTTATTTCATCCTTCTTTGTTGGGTATTTCTGCTAAATATCAGAGAGATTCACAGGTAAGATTTTTCTATGACTTGATTAAAGATGAGAGGGTTTACCTGCTAGCTGTTACTACTAGTGAGCAAGTTAAATGTAGATTTAATCTAGTTTTTCTAAGTACAGCATCCACTCAGGTCAGTGTGTTGGGGAAGGGACTGTGACCTATGAGAATTCTAACTTACACATTAGAAGCTATCTTTAAACTGAGACAGGCTTTAAAGGCCAGATTTTTATTTAGAATTGGGGCAAAGTAATCTATTGGAATATTTGGTCTTCTGGAAAAAGCTAGCTAAGGGGTCTTGGGTATAAAATAGGAAAATGGGGGGTCATTCTATATTTGTGCTGAGGATGGCTTATGAGAGTCAATGTGAGCCATGTGCTAATGGCATCTATGATGTCTCCACAATCAACTCATGGATATGGATGGATTTATTGTACTCTAATATGACATTAGACAATTTATTAAGCCAAGACTTGAAATATAATAGTGCAATTATCTTCACAAGTAAATCCTTTTGCTAGCTGGTGTACCTTAATAATTAAAAAAAAAATCTCAAAGAGCATGAAATTAGCATGGATGATATGCTGAACCATCACCATTTCCGCTGCTGATTTTGGTAATATTCTCTAAGCCTTCTTTTATTACAGATCTCAGGTAGAACTCAAACAGGGCAATTGTAAAGTTTCAAAATATTCTCACACTCTTTAATTCTGGCCTTTCCCCACAAATTCCTCCTGGGAAAATAAAGATGATTCTTTTCTGTCTTGCAGTGGCTTCGATCTCTCATAGAGGCTGACCAGTCCTTATGTGAAAATCAAAGCTTCATCTGATTTTCAGCAAGGTTATAAAGTTCTGTCTGCACTTCCACTGTTCTGCTCTTATCTTTTAATATGTTCATGTGTCAGTAGCGTCAGCAAAGACAGTTATCATTCTTTTTTATTCTTCAGTAGTCTCCATTTCCCGAGCAATCTTATCTTCCCAGAAAGTAGCTTTTCATGTCTCTTAATGTTCCAGGCAGCATCTGGAGTCATAAAGGTCTCAATAGAAGAGTTTTAGGGGATGCCTTATCTTCCAGGATTAAGGATTCCTTGGGCAGTAGTAAAAACTCAGTTTCTCTCAATTCCTGCTAGAACTCATTTGACTTCAAAATAGTATATAGTAGAAACATCTTTGCTCTTTTTAAAAATATATATACCAGTTATGTACTATGGTATTTAAAATAAATCTATTGATCATAAATGAAATTGAGTGAAGTGTACACTCCAAAAATAAATCTAAAACTATTTTGGGTTCTTTGGAGAAATAGATTTTGGTTTCTTCAACTGAGGATTTATTGTTAAAATAACCTTAAAGCTATCCAGATGATTTTCTATATCTCTTTGATACCATCTGGATGTTGTTTGGAATTCTGCAGAGTTGATAGCGCTATTCTGATTCTGTAACTTTAAAAATGTGATATTTATTTCTGGCAGCAGAAATGTGATTTTTAAATTCAGGGCAGTTTGTAGAAATCATTAAAGCATAACAGAAATTTAAACTGCACACACTTCTAAAATGAAAAAAAAAAGAAATATTTAGTAGGGCCACCAAATCTGCAAAAATCTAGATGATCATAACAGGGTAGCAAAGCTAGCATTTTCCAATTATTTTTTGCTGCCATGTTCTGCTCATTTGGATTTTTGCAGCCTAGCTTTTTTTGGTCAAACTAGGATTGGATCTTTAAGTTCATATAAAATTTAACAAATGTTCTCTGAAAAGGTTCTTGCGTTATTTGCATGAAATCACTGATACCAGACATGTATCAGTCTAGATTGAAGGAACAGTATCCTTTATGTGAATTCCTTGTACAAAAGTGGGGTTCTATAAGATTATGAAAGATAACATTTCTGCAAGGACTAGCATTATTCCTGAAATTAGAAAATGGATGTATCTTCAGTCCAGAGTTTCAGCAATGTATAAAGGACTATATACAGGAACCTCAAAAAACTGTACAATCATTGGTGGTGTTGTGAGAATAATGCTTGGTTTAAATAAGAAACCAAGCTGTTTGGAGACAGTTGCGATAAAGTATATTTTTATTGTTATGCAATCAATTTCAGGGATCACTGAGGCCTTCATTTAAAATACGGCAAAAGAGCTCTGAGAAACAAGGCAACCACTTATATATATTTGGTTATCCAATAGAAGGGATGATAAAATGAGCAATATGACCCTTACACCAGAATGCTTTTGATAAACTTAGTGGAATGATCTCTTGTTACTTTTTAGGCTAAAAGGATTATAATCTTTTAGATTAATATCAGCATTAACAATAAATGGCTTTGTTTATTGTGTCCACATACCCTTTCACACCATTCTACTCACACTCTGAAGGGAGGATAGCTGTCATTCTCTCCTTGGTCTCCATTCTATGGTCTTAACACTGAACCGCACACTTTTTTATTATTTAAGCAATAGAACATATGATTTATATGGACTATGAAGAAGCAAGATAGGAAGAGTAAGTCACTAAGAATAAAAAACAATTTAACGGTACATAATCAATCAATCAATTTCTAAGGCATAAAAATGAACATATGAATCACAGCAATAGCTGTTTCTCAACGTTTTCTCCATCTTACAGGAAGAAGAAACTAAATATATGCCATGCTAGGTTTTTTTTTTTTTTAAAGTAAAATATGGTATGGTAAACAGGAATTTTAACTTGCAGCAATAACGAACTTTATAGGGCCCAAGTCACAAGACCTTTGGACTGAAATGGGAAACATTTTTGCTATTTCCTTCCTAACAAATAGCAGTCTGTTCCACATTTTCTGTTAATCCCAATTAACAGAATGTTAATTCAACTGTACCTAGCATTTAACATTTTTTACTGTTACTGAATAACCCACATGTAAAATTCGTCATTTGTGAGCATTTGCTGCTTTCACTGCCTGACTTGAATTAGATTTCCATGAGAATATGTTCATCATCCATGGTTACTGATTGATTTGGCTTTACATTCTGGATTGAATGACTGAATGCATTCAGTGATTTATTTTTTTTTCCAGTTGAAGGACTTTTTTCATTTTTGCAAAAGAAAAAGACAAATGCTCATGCACTTGTATGCTTTGAATCTTAATACAGTGAAATTATTTTAAGGTGTGCACTATACTGTGTGCCTCTCTATGTTGCCTTTTCAGGATTAAAAACAGCATTTGATTCCGTACACTGAGGAAGAACTCTGGGGAAAATTAGCAGCCTCAACAGTTGATTGCTTCACCTCAAAATTAATCAGATTTTAAAAAATATGTACAACACATTATCACACACATAAAGGGTAATAGCAATGGGGACTTAATTGGGCATTTCCCCACCTATAAAGGAGTAAAGGAAGGACATATACTTGTCCTCTTGCAGTTCAATCTTTACATTAATGATATAGTTGAGGTTTTTGCCAATCTGGACTTTGTGCCACCATTTTTTTGAGAATTGTCCCAAATATATTCTTTTATATGAAAATGATGTAGCCATTCTCTCTTTATCAAAATTGACTATATACGTATCTTAAAGCAAGGGTATGTGTGATAGGGACAATTCAAAATCCATCATTCAAAAAACAAGTAATAGCTACAATATATGTGGTGTTGGGTTTATTGCCTAATAACAGGGGAAAAAAAGAAGAGAGCTTTTCTGATAATTCTGGTGTATTTTTTAATAAGAGAGAGATGGGAGATTGATACTATACCATATACTAAATACCATGCTAAACTATACAGGTTTGTATATTGAGATACTACAAGCAGTACAACAAAACATATTAATAAAAAAGTGAAAGTAGACAAAGCTGTTGCTTATTTGTGTTTGGCTGATCTACTTTTAGGTGCATTCTTGATTCCCTATGCCATTGCTCTGGTGTTTGAAGGAATCCCAATATTTCATCTTGAACTAGCTATTGGACAGTTCTTGAGGAAAGGCAGCATTGGAGTCTGGAGTCATATTTCACCCTATCTAGGAGGAATTGGTAGGTTATGGCTTGTTTTTGGTATTGCACATTCCTACAAATGCCTGGGCTTCACACATGGGAAAGAAGAGATGTTATCATACAAAATTCCCTACAATAGCAAACTCAAATATTGTGAGTGCCAGTGGATTTTGAAATGAAAGCATCCAAAATTAAGACCACATTGTCCACATACTTAGGGACTTCTTAAGAATCCAGAACTATAACAATTTACAAATTAAGAGAAAAATAATATTTAACTTGCTTACCCATTGATAGAAATGGATGCTTTATGAAGTCCTATGGCTTTTAAAGTGAAGAAATTTCCTTTCTAATAAATAGCAGTGTGTTCCACACTTTTTTTAATATAAATTTTATTTGGGCTTTCACAAAACATAGTACAAATAAACATCTTTTTTTGAGAATAGCATGATCCCAGGTTATCACTTCTCCATACAGTCACAAACTCAATTTCATATTCATCTTTGTGTTCTATTCCATAGCTTATTACTATTTTAACATTTTCTCCATAATTTTTCCCTTCCCTTAGTTGTCTCAACTTTGTTTTTAATTATCTCATACCTATCTAAATTCAATTATATATCTTTTTCTAAGTTTTGATGTCTTTCTAATCATTATATTTGTACTTTTGTCTGTCCTGTTTCAATTTCATATTTTCTTTTCTCATTGAACAATTTCTTTTCAATTGAATATCATACTTCCTTAGGAACACTTATAATATTTCCATAATTTTCCCCCATATTTCTTTCATGTTTCTCTTCACTTAATTTTTATAAATCATTAATAATAATTAAAATGTTCCCATCCTTTCAATTTCATTCTCTCATTCTCTTTATTTCATTTATTTATTAACAAATATTACATTACAGTAAGTATTTTATCTATCATTTTAATCACACTTGTTTCATATTTTCTAAGTTTATTTCTATTTCTAATATAACAATACTATCTTATGTACCCTTGCAGAATCCCTCTTTCAATTAAATTTCACCCATTTATATCTATGTCTTCTAAATAGGCTTATACTTTTAATCCTTGTACATTTTCTCTGTTTCTCTATATCTTGTTTCTGTCCTTTATAACTTCTTTTCCTTTCCTTCTTCCCCATCTTCTTCTCCCTCTCCTTTTTGACCCCTTGTCTCTCTAATTCTAATTCTCTCTTTTGTAATCCTCTCTTCTGTTTCTTCCTAGTATTGTAATCACTTTTCCAACTATTTTTTGCTGTTGCTTTTCAAATCTTAAACTTTTCACTCTCTTTCTCTGCTTTCTTCCCCCCCCCCCACTTAAAATTACTTGGTCATTAAAGATGACTTCTTCTTTGTCCTGCCCTTCTTGTTCTACAAGCATTTCTTGTTGTTTCTCATAGTTTGAGATCTTTATTTCTAAAAATTGAAATACGAAGCCAAAAAAGCCTCTTCCTTCTTGTGCATCTTCTTTCTGTTTTTTAAGTTCCATTTTCAGTTCTTCCAAGAGTGATGCCATTTTAAACACTTTTAAACAACCACCCGATTGATTTTAGTCATTTAAATCCAATAGCCAACAATTCAAAAATCACCAAGTAATCCAAATAATCCAAAGCTGTTTCTTCTTGCTTCTTTTTCCACTTTCTTTTCCTGGGGTTCTATTATCTTGTTACAAAGTTTCAGTTAGAATGTATCTTTTAGGAATCTTTTTGAAGTCTTGCTGTAAATTCCTTTTACTTCCAGGCAGTCTCCTCCATTTTTCCAGATCTTGCCCTTTTATTTTTTCCTTTTCTCTCCTTTCCTTCTTTTAAAGGTTTTTGAATATCCAAACGTCTTTATTATCCCTTTGAAATTTTATTTTTTGCTTAAATACCTATTAATGTCAAAGTGGATTTTTGTCAGTTTCTTACTTAAATCTCTTAGCTGTCAATATGAGGAAGGAAAGAAAAAAAAGCCAAATCCTTTCCCTTCCCTCTCTCCTTCGCCACTTCAAAATCTTCTTTGGGAACAATGTTATTCTTTATAGTTCAAATTCCAGGGTACCTTATGTTGTTGCTTTTTCAGTTCAACCCGGTCAACCAAAACTTTCTCTTCTTATCTTCCTCCTGCACATTCTTTTCCGGTCAAATTCTTCTTTGAGGTGGCCATTTCTGACCAACACTGCAACTGCCTTCCGGAAAGGGAGTAATGGCCAGCTGGGGAGGGGAGATGTGGCTCTCCTCGACCCTGCTGGCAGTCTCCCCCCTCTTTACCACCTCTACGGGGTGGCTTAGCCCCGAATCCAGCTGGCTCGGGGCGTTCTGGCGGCGAGCACAGATCAAAACCACGCACAATCACAGATTTCAGTTTATAGCCGAAGAAGCTCAAACCGGAAGTCCCCCACACTTTTTGTTAATCTCAATTTTACTTCAACTTTACCGAGCATTCAGTATTTACTGATTGTGAAAACTATTTTCACATTTGTCAGCAAATATGAGAACTAATACTTTGTTATCATTCAATATTTGCAGTTCCCTAATTTTTTCAATTCTGCATCCTAACACAATTAAAATAGCATACTAGGGGAAGCATTAAAAATAAAAATGATGTCACAAAATTAAGAAAAATGATTTGCAGAAATCATGAAAAGTTGGAGAGAAAGAGAGAGAGAGAAATAGAGGGGGTGGGGAGGGCAATGCACACCCAAGCAATACTTTCTTAAATTAATGTACTTGGGTGGACATTGTGATTTTCTTAGCATCTTTTTTGTTTCCAAACATTAGAAAAACCCTTGCAGTGTTGCTAAAACTTCACTGTTACAATACTATTTTTATTATTGTAATTATATACAATATTAATTGTCATCATTACTGCTACTGCTCTTAATTTTTTAAACCCCATTGTTATGTTGTCTACTATTACATTTAAAAAAACCTTTTAATAAAATATTTTGATACATTTTTGTGCCAGCCAGGGAACTATAGTTATTGGGAGGCCTTGAAGCTTAATCCATCAATCATCAAGCAGGAATTGTGTATGATGACTTAAACTAAGTTGCTTGCACTGAGCCCATTAATAGCATTATGTGTGCCTAGAAATCAGGTGAGGAAAAAAATACCTGTGACAGCTCTGCCACTCCTGCAAATCTTTCTTTAATGCTGTACTTGTCATTTATAACATACCCTTTTACAAGTGCATCCTGCTTTCCTGATTCCCACGTTGACCATACCTGACTGGGCATGGCAGATCAAAACCAATTTCTCAATAACATCCTTGATTAGAAAGAGACACCTCTGATCTTAAAAGCAGTGATACTTTGACAAAAGCTAAAATCACCGGACGTTTTCCTCTCCTTTCACTTGAGTAGGGAATGCACAATTTATTTCTACACATTAAGCTCATATACACTTATTATATTACAGTTCTAAATCTCTTTGTTGGGAACAGGATTATGAATTAGACTTTTGCAACATGCATTTAGATTTCCCCCCAATTCTCATTTGTTGGTGCTGCTGTAGATTTCCTTTTCTCTATGCTTGCTTGTTCCATAGGCTACGCTTGCATGATGATATCATTCATAGTAGGCAAGTATTATAATATGATTATTGCCTGGGTGTTGTGGTACCTGGGAAACTCTTTCAAAGAACCCTTGCCTTGGAGCATCTGCCTGAATGAGGCCAGCAAATGGGTGGGTGTATTTTCTGTATATTTTAATTGTTTCCATTCATTAGCAGGTGAGACATGTTACATGTATCCTTGACATCAATCCCATAACTTGCCATATCTGAAGGAGTCCTGCACTTGTCTTCTCTTGTCTTGTACTGGCACAGCTGTATAGACCAGGGTTCACCAACCGTTTGCACCTCAAGGACCACCAAACTCATAATTTCAAATCCTGCGGATCACTAATATGAATTTTGACTGACGGTGGCTTTCAAAGGGTTCTTTGAAAGAGTTGGAAGGAAAGTTGGTCCCATATTCCAGAGCTGCAGTAGTCACAGGACTGGCCCTTTGATCATCCTGGAGCAGCTTCTCCTGTCCATGGCAGGCTGGTGCACTCGGGTGGAGGAGCAGTTGCTCCAGAATGACCAAAGGGCCAGTCTTGTGATTACCGCAACTCTGGAATATGGGACCGATTTTCCCACCAACATCAGCAAGCCACCCTGGGGCAGATTTCCCTCCCCTGCCATTGGTCTTACCTTCCAGTTCCAGCTCATGTGGCTCTACTCAAGATAAGGTTTGCACTCAGCTGAAGGGTGGGGGCAAGCGGGTGGGGGGGGCATGTGGGCAGTGCAGCCTTCTGTTCCCACACAGCCTGGATTAATTGCTTTGGGGGGAGTGTTTTGGAGGGACACCCAAAACCACTAGTATAGACAAATCCTATCACCATTGCCTCACTCCATAATGAAAACAAATTCTTACTAGAGCGTATAAGAGAAAACACATGTCTATGAGGGAGAGGTGGTGTTGGGGAGCAGATTGTGTCTTGGATAAGTTTTAAAAAAGGGGGGGATGACTCCTGATAACAACAGTTTGTGTACCGTATGTGATTAGCTTAATCAAATGTACTTAATTTTGCCTAATAGCTATAATTATTTGCTACAAAGTTTGCTGACTCTGTAGCATTAGTACCCAGCATAGTACGCTGATCAATGTAATCAGCAATATTTCCTTAGTGCCTGTTGGGCTGTCCATGTCCCACTTGATTTAAAAATTAAATTGAATGAGAAATTAAAGCAGCAAGTTAGCAAACAGCAGCAAAAAGCTTCCCGCATTTTTCTATTACTCCCAAATGCTTTTAGATCCATCATAAACCATAGAGGATATTTTGAAAGTTAAAATGGTACCCACCACCTACAGTTTGTTTAGAATTGAGCCTGGCTTCCCAGAAAAGAAAAAGAAAAAAGAAAAGCAGGGTTTTTTTGCGGGGGGGGGGTTAAGTCAAAAAGGACAAGATGATTATGCAAACAAAGCCCTAGCCTTTTTGGGGTGTGTATTGTGATGCACATAAAGAGGGACAGGGTTTCAATCACATATTGTAACTGCTCTCCTGACTTTTTTGTATACCTTTCCTGTGGACACTCTTGGATCAAGATGGTAGGTAGGTATTATATTGGGAGAAGGGAGGCAATTTTTGGTAATTGGTCTTTTGCCAAATTGGTATGTTGAGTCCACTTTGGGGCAGCCATCTTTTAAGAATATGACTAGGTGATAAGATCTCAAAATTTGGCAAGTCTGTCCACTATCTGAAAAGCTCAAGGACTCCTAATGCAGACTTCCAACCAAGGCCTCAGATCCTCAACAAATGTCATTTATCACTCAAAAGAAGATGGTGGCTCAAAGACTTCAGTTTTTCTTCATGTTCTGTCACAATGGACTTTAAATAGCTTTTCTCTGCACACTTTATGGATAGCTCTTGTCTTGCCTATGTAAAATTTGGACAAGGAAAAGATGCTGATCAGAAGTAGTAAAGACTTTGCCTTTATAGAAATTGATGGAGTGGTACAATTCACCAAAGCCAACTCACCCTGACCATCTCATCCTGGCCAATTCACTGCAGCTAGCTCAGCTAACTTGCTGTGCAACAATTCAACACAGGATAACTCAACAGAGGACAAGTGAATTGCAGCAGGCCTTGTCTGGCTTTAGGTTTGAATTTTGTCAAGTAAGAAATCCTCAAGGCTTGGGTGAGCCAGAGTGTAGAGCCTTAGTGGGACCATTGGCCAAGCTTTGGATCAAGCACAGCATGCCTGGATAGTCCTTGTATGGATCCAGACTGAGGAAGCAGTGCATCCACAAGAGGAAGCCCGCCATTGCCACTTCTTCCTGGCATGTCTGCTGAGATGACTAGCTGCTCTGCTGACATCCCTGTACTCCTTATGACGGAGCAAACAGCCCGGTCCTAGGAATCCCCAAGGTATCCTTCCTTGACTGGCTGGGAAAATACCACTGGACCAATTAGGAATTTTCTGGCAAGTAAATAGCCTGGTAGAAATCTGCAACCCCCTTTAAAACGAAGCCATTGAAGAGCCTTGAGCTCACCACTTCCTCTTCTAGCCCTGTGTATTTGGTGACCCTAGAGGTGAAGGAGCGCTACCCGAATGTCAGCAGAGTGGCTGGCCCTCACAGCAGGCGTCCCAGAAAGAAGCAGCAGTTGCAGGCCTCCTCATGCAGATTCAATGTGCCCTCAGCCTGGATCCATGCAGAGACTACCCAGGCATGCCAAGCTTGTTCACAGCTTGGCTGATGGGCTGCCAAGACTCCATGCTCTGGCTGACTCCAGCCTCAGTGATTTCTAACTTGAGAAAGTTCAAATGTAAGGTAAGACTATGATTTAATTAGAGTGATTGCTGGAATTCTGGCAACTAGGCCTGATGCAATTCACTTGTCCTCTCTTGAGTTATCCCCCACTGAATTGTCTCATGGTGAGTTGTCCTATAGCGAAGTAGCTGCAGAAGTTGTCTTGTGGCAAGTTGGCTGAGGTGAGCTGGTTGGGGCAAGTTGTCTTAGATCCATACAATTGAGCATCCTAGATACCATCCTAGAACAGAAATAGAAATAGGGTCATAGTTGAGGTGTCCCACAATGCACAATGAATTATTTTTTGCTCTTACTTTTTCCTTTGGTACACATCACATCTTTCAAGCCCTAAAAGGATAGTTTTCATACAGATCCAGCTGAAGAAGACATGCTTCAAATTATTTCTTTAAGCTGACTTCTTTATATTCAAATTCGGGTGAGAGATCTTTTACAGCCCCATCTACTCTAAGGAAGGTTTAAAGAGCCATATATTCCAATTTGCTCCAAAATTAAAGTGGATAGCATCCCCCTGCACTCATGCAACCTGTAACAAGGGCATCATTTGCATACATCTCCACATACCTCAGTAAATAATGGCTGTTTTGCATTTTAGCTCAAGTGTAAATCTCCCTAGATTAAAAGTGTTTTATTCTCAGGTAGGAATGCATAAGATTATAGGTTCTCTAGAGATAATTAAGCTATAAATTTGTCACATAGGTAATACGGTGGTAAATGTGTCCTTTTGCTTCCTTGGTATATACAAAGTCACTGATTGAAGCACGTTTTATGAGAGATTTGAGATAAATTAATGTTCTCACAGTCACTTTTCTATATGTCTTTTGACCTGTGAATTGAAGTATGTTTATTTCCAGATCAGAAGAATGCACTCGTAGACAAAACTGAGCAGTAGGCATGGAATCCTACAGTGCTGATTGTCTCTGCAATGTTGCAGAAGATTATAAAGGAAGGCAAAGATTCATGCCCATGTTTTTTTTGTCAATTAAATAGAATCTATGAACAAAATATCAATTTTGTGCAAATACAACCCTAGCTGCTGTTAATACATTGATAATCAAATACATTAATTCTTTATTGTAACCCTCAGGCAAAATTCCCAATAGAAATGTCTCTGGTTTTAAGTCTATAGTCTGTTTTATCATTTTCTTCAGCCACATGTGTATTCTAGTCCAATACTTTTTGGCTTCTGTGCATGTCCACCACCTATGGTAGTATGATCCTGGTGACTTCTGACATTTCCAGTACTTCACCGACTTATCTTTAAACATCTTGGCAATTCTCGTTGGGGGTAGATGCCACTTTAAAACATCTTATACAAATTCTCTTTATAGGCCATTGACTTAGTTAATTTATAGTTTCTAGACCATAATATCTGCCATTTATCCAAGTCTATTCCATATCCAAAGTTTTTCCCCCACACAATCATTTATTCTTTTACTTGTTCTTCCTCTAATTTCACTCCTAATAAATAAGCATGTAGTTTTTGATCAACTTCTTTTCAGTGCCTGTTAGGATTTTATCCAATTCAGTCAATTCCTTTTAAAACCCAGCCATCTTAATGTCTTTTTCATACCTTGTATGTATTTGCAAAATACAAATATTAATTTATATTTATCCCTTGTAACTCTAATTCTTGCTTTGTTTTGAGTTCACCCTTTTCATTTAAAATTTCTTCATATCTAATAATGTGTTCCTTTTTAAATAACTGTGGATATGTTAAACCTGTTCTTGATAAGAACTCATACTACTTCAAAGGACATTCCAAAAAGTTGTTTGATCCTTCCATTCACTTTATCCATTGTCTTTTACTTCCCTCAGCCTTGCCAACCTAATAATTGTTTAGTCCATCATCCATTTGCATTACACATGCAAAGCACATGAGTTCTACTTGCTGACCATATTGAACAGTCAGCCTTCATTTGATCTAGGACTAGCTGATATGCTTCTCTTGTAGGCAGTGGCATCACTCTTAGCAACCATTTCTATATTGAGGATGTTTATCTTCTTTGCCCCATTCTTTCTATATGTCCAGCTTTCACCACCATACATTATCCTTAGACAGACCATTGCTTAACTATTCTGATTTTTGCTGTCATTGAAAAGTCATTCTCCTTCATAACCTTATTTAAATTTGTTGTCCTCTTTCTCCCTAAGATTAGCCTCCTCTAGCACACTGTCCATCTACTGTAAGTCTATTATTCTTGAGGCTAAGAAAACAAAACTTCACTTTTTTGAAATCATATATTCACTAAGGATGCCTTTCTCCTTTTTCATCTTAATATTAATCTGGATTTCCCCCCCCCCCACGCACACTTTTTTATTGCTATGATAATCTTAGCCCAATCATAAATGTTTATTCTGATCTCTCTTGTCCTTGTTCAAACAAATAATAAACTTTTAGATACTAATAAAATAGCAAGCCATAAATTGCAGATGGGACTCATGGGAGACAATTGGCTAAGGTGGTTCATTTACCATTTTCAGACTGCCTTTGTCCTACATTGGCTGTGAAATGATTATGATTCAAGCAACAAGAAAAAGATATATCCTTTCCTATATCAGTCATGTTGTTGACAAAACAGGTTTGAAGTGCTGATGCACTGAAGAAGTTCTTTAGAATAGGGGGAAAAAGAAGAAACAATGCTAAAAGTACCTGTACCTAACTTTGAGGTAGACCAAGCTTGGAAACCAAAAGCTATGGATATTAAAACTACTTTTATTACAGAGTTACAGTAACAGAATCTTCCAAATCTTAAAATGCTCCCTCCCCAAACCAGCCTTTATCTACAAAAAAAAACAAAAAAAAAAACACAGGGAAAGTCAAGTTTGAGATGTTTCCTCAAACTAGATTTAAATAAATAAATCTGGACTCAGATTTATCTTACCTGTTTCTTTGTTGCATCTCTTTCTCATGTTACTCAAGATCATTCTCACATCCCATTATTGTGCCTGTCTGGGTTTTGAGATTTGCCGTTTGATCACTGGAAAACATGTTTGTCACAGGAAATATACGATAGTACTTAGGAAGTTATGATAAAATGCAGCTCCAACATCTTTAAAAACAGCAACACTAGTTCTAATAACAAGAAGCGAACTGCATTGTAGAAAAGAATGCTGGAGAGAGGTTCTGCTTGGCATGAGACTAATGAGGGTTTACAAAACATCATGAATTCAAACCATTTGAAGGGAAGCAGTTGCTTTTAATTACAAATGGTTTCTTTCGACCATTTTGGTTTTGGAGCTTGAAACAGTATTTTAAGCATGGCACAAATTTCCAAGATGATAGAAACAGCCTGTTGTAAATGTGAAACTTGTTTTTGAGGACCGGTAATGGGACATTTTGAATTCAAAACGTCACTTTTAAATGTTTCTAATTCTAAACGTTTCATTCACATTACTTAGTTGTTGCTGTTGGCATGCTGTTTATAATTAATATGTGACTAATATTATATATATGTGGTGTAACCTTATAACTAATATGTAAGGAATTTAGTTAACTTAACTCTTCTTAACTTAGAGGAGGCATTCAAAAATATGAAGTATTATCTTCTGTCTGCATTGAAAAAAACTTTAAGCACTTTCTCTTTGAATTCATGAAACAATGTGAATGATTAGTACCTCTAAGACACTGTTTCATGTGTCTCTTATTTTAGACCTCATCAAAGAATGTGATCATAGCTCTGAATCCAATTACTTTTGGTACAGATACACACTGAACATCAGCATGGACATCACACAGACTGGCCCTGTTCTTTGGTGGTTGGTTGTATCTTTGGCCAGTTCCTGGATCATTGTGTACCTCTGTACAGTTCAAGGAATTGAATCAACTGGAAAGGTGAGGAGTGTCTTTTTCCCGGATAGTTTTTGATTAGCCAACCAGCCAAATACTAACTGGTCCTGACCCTGCATAAGTTCTTTCTCAGGCATGGTCAGTCACATACCCCAATTCATCCACTGCAATAATTATATAGGGATGTAACTTAGAAGATTCTGATTTCCCCCAGAAGGGAAGAGGGAAATGGTAGATCCCCTGCAGCGCATGTTAATTGCCCCAGCATTCCATTTATTGGTACACAGCACTTCATTATTTTGCTGTTAAAAATTTCAGTGGGATATCATCCAGATTTTGGCAGTTTGATTTGTGTGTTGGCAGAAAGTTGGTCCACGGTGTGAATAACATGGCTGGACTGGACTGTGATGGGAACATTAACTAGGACGTTCATAATGATGATCCATTTGAATGATTTCCTTCTGCTTTTCCTCTCTTTGCAGGCAATTTATATTTCAATCTCTTTTCTATATGTAACTTTAACTGCATTCCCTATTTATGCACTGACTCTCCCAGGAGCTATTCAAGGGCTATTTTATCTCTTCATTCCTGATGCAAGTATATTCCAATTTCCCATTGAATTTCTAGCTATCCTTAAGAGTTAATTATTTTATTGAGCCTGATCTAAACTTCTCTAACCATTGCATTCAGTTTCAGAAAAGAGTTATTCATAATTTTTACCCACTGAAGCTGCTAGAAGCCATGCATAGAGGGGTGGGAAGTATTTGTGGGGTAGTCAGAAACTCTGACACCTACACGGAGCTCTAGGAATGTGATCCTATGTATCTCAGACAACATCTATAAGTGCTGGATTATGTAATCAATTTTATAATTTCTTTGCTTATTATACTTTATTTAGAGAATCTGGGAATTTATTAGTGTTACTAACATTAACTAATGGTTAACCAGGCACATGGATTGGAAGTAGCACTTAACAGTGAGTGATGCTCTAGATATGGTTGAATTCAAGGCCTCATTGATCACAACTGGTATGATCAATCATCAGAAATAATAGAAAGTATAATCCAACAGCCTATGCAGGGCCATAATTTCACACTCCAGCACCAGATTTTATATGAGTTCTAAAACAACCTGTTACCTACCTTTATAACTCTTCATTTAGTCATTTGCTTCCTAGTTGTGCACCAGATCCCTAATATCATTAGGAAAGTTGTAATTATTTTTTTCAACTGCTGTTACCTTACAGAAGAATTAGTCCTTTAATTCTAAGGATTTCACCAATTTACACCTTAACAATGTTAGAAAGAGAGAGACCTACACCTACATATACTATATACAGTGTATATAGAACACTTAATACGCATGTTTTTACTAAATTTATTCATAAATAAGTTGTATAAACTAATATTTAAGGTTTTACTTTTATAAGTATCTTTAAATTGGGGGTGTTGTATTTATAGCATTATAGTAAACAATTTCTTTTCTTGATTTTAGAAACATTTGTGATTTAACTTGAATCTTGTAATCTCTTATAAATGCACAAAATGCTGGTCAGGGACATAACATAAAGATGACAGCTAATGGGGTTCACTGTATTTTTTTTACTTCATTTTTATTTTTAGTGTTTTTAATAGTTCACAGTCCTAAAAAATCCACGTACATGGCTTGATGCAGCCACCCAGAGTTTCTCCTCCCTTTCTTTAGTGTTTGGAGGACATATAGCATATTCAAGCTACAATCCACAAAAGTAGGTGTAATGTAGTCTAATTTTATACACCTTAATCCAGTGTTCAACATATGGGAATGTTGTTTATGTCAGTAAAGTCAAAATCATTTTAATCACTCCTAAGTGAAAAGAAAGAATTTAAACAAAGTTAGCTTTTCTTACTTCTTTATGGCAACCTGTACGTTTAGTGTAAAGTCATCTTATTTTGCTAGTATCTTCTATCATCGTTCTATTTTTTTTTCTTTACTTCTCAATCTAGCCTACAGCTCTAACATTTTTCGTGATTTCCTGATCCTGCTAACTAATATAATTACTTGAGTTGATTGGCCTAATAAAATAAAATGTAAAAGTTCATCGGCTACATCTATGAAGTGTATCATAACCTTAAGGATATATTAGTTCACATTTAAAATTAGACCAGTGATGAGAGTTCTGACACAATTTACAATTTTCATATGTAGTATTGCCTGTTTAATCTGATTTATTATTTTTTCTTTTCTTTTTTCTAGAAATGACTGTGAAAAAGATTCTGTCATAATAGCCACAGTGGACTGTTTAACATCTATATATATATATATATACCTCAATTACCATTTTTTCAATTCTTGGGTTCAAAGCAACAATAAACTATGGGGACTGTTTGGATAGGTAAGCTAGTAAAATAATTTAACATTTTAATTTTGCTTTGCATTCCATATTATTTTGTTGGCCTCCATTATGATTTAACTACTTTGAGGAGTGCTACAGAATGAAACAATTGAATACTAACCTAGAGGAACTCATATTATAAATTATATAATAGTACATTCTAATATTTTTAATTCCTGGTAAATTAAAACATTCTCCAGAAGATGTTATTATCTTTCTGATTTTCTGACTGGTCAAACCAAAACTGACTTGGTTGCCTGTGGGCGAAGGAATAGTAAAATTTTTAACTTTATTTATTGTCTTTGACCTGACTTTGCTTTTGTTACATTTGATCACAAACAGTACATTCATCTTATTGGGACTACTGATTTGAGACAACAGGGTTGTTTTCCTCCCTGAAATAATATCTTGAGACTAATTCTTTTTGTTTCTTGCTTGTTTAATCAACCAAATAACGACAAGCTAAAGCATACAAAGTGTGTAAAATTAAACAAAGAGGGCTTTTTTTTCAGATTTATCAATGATAGTTAATAGCAGTTTTGGTTGAGTTTATCATGCTGTGTGTTGCTGAAATGCAAGAGAGACATGTTGGCTAATTGAAGGCAAGTTATCTCTGTCCAAATAAGACTGGAGCTGGTAGATCAGTGGGCTGAATGCGTCACATGCTGGCCCCGTCCTTGCCCGGTTTAGCAAAGGGGGGAAAGACCTGATACATCACGTGATGCCGCCGTGATGCCTTGTCTTTGATATCCCTGAGCTAAGGTGATATTAGAGTCTATTAAAAAGGTGCCTTGCCAGTTTACCTTCTGGTTAATGTGGCTGATATAACTCACCTTCCTCCTCTTCTTCCTCTAAATAATTTCCTGTCATTTTGTCTCTCTTAACCTGTTGTAAAACCCCTTTCTGTTTACTAATCTAGATTACATTGACTAGGATTTCTAATCCAATGTATCAGACTTCCATGGAATAAATAAATTGGATATTGCTTAGTTGGGCAAATGTCCTCTACCTTGTCAAGACTACTTTTTAATCCTAATTCTATTCACTGAACAATAAAGATTTTGTTTCCTGGACACTTTTGCCTGGTAATTGTGAAAATAATCTCTAATTTAACTTATCACGTACTATTTTAAAGAAATCTTTACATGATGTTTTTACATGATGACAATGTATACTCCTCAGTACCTGTTGCCAATGCTGCACACATGAAAGAAACAACCAAAAACATATAACTGATGTTGAAACACTGTTCCACTCAAACCCTTTTCCAATAAAACAAACACAAACTAAAGGGAACAGAAACTTTTTAATGATTCTTACAAATCCCTGCTTAAAAGGCTGCTGCAAACTAATTAACTTTGATAAACACAAGCCTCACCAAAACTGTGTGAGGCTGCAAAGAATCACAGATAGAAATATTTCAGAACATAAGAGTCTTCAAATACCAACTAAGATTCTGCAATGTCCACAAGGCTGGAGTTTCAAAACGTTTTTGCTTCCTACAAAGAACGTCTGATTCACAGTTGGCTTTTATCTCCTTGAAGGAGAGGCAATTACCTTGCAGACTTTCTCCAGAGTCACCCATGCTGCTGCAGCTGTTCTTTCCTATGAGCAGTCCTGCGCGCGCACATACACTTGTCATAGGCTCCTCGGGAACCTCCTCATCGTGGCTGCCAGCCCCCACTATCTCTGAAGGCAGCAGTCCACTCCCTAATGGTCCTGGCCCCTCATCTGAGTCTTTGCTCTCCTCAGCCATCCGGCTAACCAAAACACACTTCCAGGACATCAAGTACAACTGGCATATCAGTGGAGATCTAAAGTGGCTGTGCTGCTTGGAATGCAGCTCAAATAGACCAAGTACTTGGTTGTTACATAAGCAAATGGGACAGCCATGCTAGAGTCACATTACATTAAGAAGAATTGGCCACTCCAAAAAAATTGGTTCCAGAGCACAAATGTGGCACATGAACCATTTCTTGACCAAACAAATATATTTTTGCCTCCACTTCACATGAAACTTGGACTATGAAAAATTAATTTTCAGCATTCTTTTCTGGAAATATTCAGCTAAATGGAACTATTATAAAATTAAATATAATCAGATTTCCTTCCTTCCTTCCTTCCTTCCTTCCTTCCTTCCTTCCTTCCTTCCTTCCTTCCTTCCTTCCTTCCTTCTTTCTGTGTGAAACCTTTTTAAACTGTGTGTACCTGGAACAGGAAGCAATCATTATACTTCCCAGGATTTAGAAAATATACAGCCCCAAACTGTGTTTTTGGTGGAGAGTGGGGTTAGTGGGCAGTATTCATATCTAATTACTATATTGAGTGTTTAATTTTTTTTTCACAAGTACTGTTATCAACTTCTATTATTTTAATTCTCTTATTTCTATTTTTATTTATTCTGTCTTTTATTTCTGTTTCCTAAGTAAAGAAAGTTTTGCATGTGTCTCTTTTATGCTGCTTCTGCTATTTTTACCCTTATTTTTTTTCTTTAAATTTCCTATAATACATGGGTTCTCATTTCAGTAATGGTTTGCTGCTGCCTCCTTCCTAGGTCTGAGAGGGTGTGACTGGCCAAAGGTATCCTGCTAGCTTTGCGCCTGAGGCGGGAGTAAAACTCAAAAGCTCCCGATTTCTAGTCTGATATCTTAAATACATCAAACTGGTTCCCATATGGGTCTGCCTATATATCTGTTTTTTATAGACACAGACACACACATACATATACACACAGAGAAACTCTCTCTTGTGTGTTTAGGTAGAAGCTTTTGATAAGCTAATATTCATTTTGTTAGTATTAATAATTATCTTCAGTCTGAAGAACCTCAATTGGGGTATCTCAGTATCATAACAACAAAAAAAGCAGCCTCTAAATTATCTTACAGGATTAGGGCCATGTGGGTGAGCATGTACTTACCCAGCCAACTGATTACCGTGTTTCTCATATAATAAGGCCGGGTCTTATTTTTTTTTAAGACCCCCAAAAATGGTTAGGTCATCTTTTCGGGGGTGACTTAATTCCCCCCCCCTTGCATCTTAGGGCAGGCGGGCAGCGACAGCTTGGATGTTGACCTCGGCATTGGTGGGGCACTTCGTATCGGGGTCAATGCAGGCAGCACCATATCCGGGTGTGCAACAAAAGTACTTCCTAACAGCAAGCCCCCCCACCATTCCCCCCCATTTCGCATGTTTTAATATAGGCCTTAATTTGGGGGGAGGGGCTTAATTTCATTTCATGCCTATAAAACATGCTGGGACTTCCTATTGGGGGAGGCCGTATTGTTGGAGAAACAGGGTAGTTTTATCTCAAGTTTGGTTAACTGGAAGGCAGAATTAGCAATTTCCATGCAAGTGAGAAGCAAGTTTGACATCTGGTATTATCCATGTGGAAAACTTGGGAATATTTAACTGGTTGAGTCATAATTGCTCTCTTTTTGCATTTTCATTCACACACAACTACTAAACTTTGTCTTCATTAGGTATAATATGCTTTGCCTCCTTTTTGTTGGGTCTCCTTTTTACCACACGATCAGGAAGCTACTGGATTGAAGTGTTTGATAACTACGGAGGAAGCATACCATTGCTGATCATTTCTTTATTTGAACTGTACGGTGTTGTATATGTTTATGGACTGAAAAGGTAACGAGGTTCTTGTATGTCTACTTCTTAGTAAGTTCTTCAACTGAGACAATGTGGAATGTAAGAGTGGGAAGACCTCAGCCAGAGAACTTCACTGGGTCATCCTCTCTCAGCTCAACCAACTTTAAAGGAATTTTAGGGAAAGTAAGAGCAAGAAACATTTTACCTTGAGTTCCTAAATGAAAGGCAGGGTAAACATCTAGTAAATAAGTATTTAACAAAAGCATTCTGCTAGGATTATACTTGTTTTAGTTGAATAAACTTTTATTGTATTCAGAGGTCTGTATACATGATCTTGGTGAAGTTCAGATCCAGGCATATGGTAAATCATCATTAGCATCCTGTCCTTAGGCAAAGGAAAGGCTTAAGAATAGATGGCTCTCTTATGATTAGTTAGAGAATGGAAGCATTTGAAGTAAAGGTGTTGCCTTGCAACCACCTAGTGCATTGTACTGTTCATCACTTTAATAAAGCAAAACATTTTCACACTTACAGTGAATTAAGACCCCAGCTTTTCATTCTAGAAATTCTGTCTGTTCCTTAATCAATAGACTTTAGTCAAGAAGTGACATCATCAAAAGTTCAAGGCAGACAACTCCAGCCAGTAGGGAGTAATATTTTAAGTTCCCTTTGTCTATAGCAGGGGTATCAAACTGGCGGCCGTGGGCCGGATGCATCATATGCGGGCCCATGGCCACCCAGCTCCACAAAGGGGGGAAACGTCATGAAATGTCATGAAATATCACATGATGGCAATGTGACGCTGTGAGTTTGACACCCATGGTCTATAATAGTCTTCTGTAAAATAATGCTCTAAGGAGCATTTCCCTTATTTGTATTGTATGCAACATGATTCCTCTAAGAAAAGACAAGTTTCTCCAATTAAATAACATTAGTTTTGAAGTTTTGCGTCTAACCTGCAATACAACCGAATTTAAATTCATGCGGGTCATCGTCTGAAGTTAGGGCTATGAAGCTTTTAAAATATATACACACATGCACACTTCTTCTTACATATCTATATCTACTTGTAGGAAAATGTGGTGGGAGCACCCAATCTTTGTAAAATGCATCACTCTATTCATTGCTAGGATTCTTGAGAAGTGGTTCCCCCCCCGCACATCAGCCATTGATTAAAAAAGCAAGTCTGCCATTAAGATTCGGTTGTTCAGCCTTCACCTTTGCATAAAATGATTTCCATCAAGATATCTTGAAACTAAAATACTTGGAGGTATAATCCAAGACTAGCTTTGTAATGACATTGTAATAGGTGCCTAAAGGCTACATTCCTCTTATTGCAAAATAAAGTGATTACTTAAAATTGCTATATTGCAAATTCAGATATTCCATTGTGAATTGAATTGTCAGTGACTATAAACCAATTTGGCCATAGGTTCTGTGATAACATGGAATGGATGACTGGAAGGCCAGTACATTTCTACTGGAAAGCATCCTGGCAGTTTATCAGTCCTCTGCTAATGCTTTCAATCCTTTTGAGCTATCTAGCTGTTCAGCGGCCATCAACCTACACTGCATGGAATCCAAGCTATGTATGTTAAACTTGTTACTTAATTTCTACCATTTATTTTTATGCAACAAAAACAAGGACTGAGTCAACACCATCGTATTGCATAAGCACCCCCCCCCCCCATGAACAATACAGTGCTTAAAAATCAAATTTAATCAGCCAACTCAGATTTTAAAAAAGTTAGCTCTAGATGAAAGGCTAACCAGTTACAAGATATGTATATCCAATTGGCAATAGATTTCTTTTTTGCTATGTTGCTTTCATTATAGTTTATCTTCTAGAATTTTTAGGTAGGGTGGTTGTTTGTAAGCTGCTTGGAGATCATTATTATAGTCTGGAAGCAGATGAAGAAATAACGTATAACAAAGGTATGTGTCACATATTTGCCTTCCATTGGCTGGGGGCTGTGCTTATTTTTATGGGATACCAGTTGAGAATGCCTTCTGTATATGGGCTCGGATAGCAAGTATGTGTGCATTTATCACATTAAAATAAGAGTAGCATACCTTCTACATTTGAAGAGCAAGTTGCCTCTTGCTATTCATTATTCCATGTCTTGGTAAAAACAGAGATGAAGAACAATATAAGTGAAGATCTCCTTGCAGGAAAAGTAAGGCTCATCCTTTGGAAGGATTGTCGACCTCTGCGTAGACCCCCATGTACTCCTATTTTTTAATTTTTAATTTTGTGTTTTTAGTTATTAATTTTTAGTTTTAATTTTATGCAATGTTATCTCACAGGAAGGGTTTCCTTTGAAAGAGTCCAAATTTTATCCACGCTCGGTTTTATTCATTGGTGCCTCGCTTGTGGTCCTACCATGCATATTTATTCCAACTGGTGCTATTTACCATTTTAAAGAAGTATTGCTGAAAAGGAAGAAGAAACAAGTCCTTCATCAATGTGAAAGCACCGAAGGCAACTGATGCTCTGGGATTCTATCAGTCAGTTCCAGTGATCCATAGTAAACCAGAAGTTCAGATTATCCAGAGGAAAAAGAAGTATTCTGGGGCAATCTATGAAAATTAAGAGTACACCTTGCCTCTATAAACATCTGTAGAATTCTTAGGGAAAGTCATAAAAGTATTTCAAATAAATACCCTTTATACAGTATTAGATTCTGTAATGCTAAAAGTTTTAAAGAAATTGTTTTAAACATTTCCCCACGTTTTTAACTGAGAAGACGATCAGAACCCTGGATTTACAAAAGAAAAAGTATAATAAAAACGATAGGGAAGAGTAAAATAATAATAATCAAGTAAATATATACACAGCCAATATACACAGCCAATTCTTAAAATGACCACTTGGATAGAAATGGATCAATGGGTGACAAGTTAATTTTTGTTATCTACTTTCTGGGCACGGCCAAATGATCTAGTGTAGTTTCATGTGTCCTTTTTGTGCTGCAGTTTGGGAGAATGGAAATACTCATCTTGTAAACTTCCCTTCTTGGTAAAATTAGAGTCTGAATTTTTGCCCAAACTATCTTCCCTATATTCAGGGAACATATCTATTATTTGCAGAAAGAAGAACATGAATTGGAACGGAATTTTAAATGGCAATCTAGCCAGACCTACAGTACATCAGTCACTTTGATGTGGATTATTTAGCCGTAGAAACTACTTGTTATGAACAATGGTACAGTCAACACCAAAAAAGCTCTACAACTTCTTTAGCAGTTAGAATATAGAATAGAATAGAATAGAATAGAATAGAATAGAATAGAATAGAATAGAATAGAATAGAATAGAATAGAATACTTTATTGGCCAAGTGTGATTAGACACACAAGGAATTTGTCTTGGTGTAAATACTCAGTATACATAAAGAAAAGGTACATGCATTAAGAATCAAGAATCATAACGTACAACATTTAATGATAGTCATAGGGTACAATCAACAATCAAATCATATCGGAAACAGTCAATATAAATAATAAGGATACAACTGACAAAGTTACAGTCCTACAATCACAAGTGGGAGGGGATGGGTGATAAGGAATGATGAGAAGATTAACAGTAATACCGTGTACCATGGCAAGAGGGCAGCCCAACCCCATGTGGGGAGGTGAATCTCCTGGGGCCGCAGCGCAGGATTGGCCCACCCCGGGAGAGGCGCCCAGCGGCCATCCCTGCCTGGCGCTGGGCAGAGCGCGAAGAGCTTCACCTGGGGCACCCAGCGCAGCTGACAGGCGGGCCCTCCTGCCCAGTGGCAGAGCTCTTTCCAAGGCAGCGAGCACCTCCCCGCTGGACCCTCCACTCATCCCACCAGAGCTGTGCGGGCTTGGCAGAGCTGTGAAAGCGAGCCGCGGGTGCACACACGCCTGCCAACCGAAAGAGCTGGATCGACCTGAGCTTGGCTTCCTTCCCAAGTCCCACAAAGCCTGAACCCAAAGGGGCCACTGGGAGAGGCTGCCTGAGGCAATGATAGCGCCCACCTGTCTGCAGACAGGGAGGCGAGGCGACAGCAGCACTGCTTCCCTGGCCGGCGGGTCTGGCGGAGAGACCCTGAAGCCGCCCTTTCTTTCCACCCCTCACTGAACCCGTCCCCGTCCCCACGCATCTCCAAATGTGCCAGCACCTCCAAACTCTGCAGTGGCATGGGCATTGGGCAGAGGCGCTCACTCGGTGGGGCTCAGCTCGGAGGACGTGGTGCAGGACGTCGCCTTGCCTCCCTGTCCATGGGTGGGCACTATAACTGCCTCGGGCGGCCTCTCCCGATGGCCCCTTCGGGTTTGGGCTGGAGTGATTTGGGAAGGAAGCCAAGCTCGGATCGGCCTGGCTCTTTTGCTTGGCAGGTGGGCGCGCACCCGCGGCTCGCTTTCCCGGCTCTGCCCAGCCTGCATGGCTCTGGCAGGATGAGCGGAGGCAGGGAGGCGCTCGCTGCCTTTGCGAGAGCTCCGCCACTGGGCAGGAGGGCCTGCCTGTCAGCTGTGCTGGGTGCCCCAGGCAAAGCTCTTCGTGCTCTGCTCAGCACCAGGCAGGGATGGTGGCTGGGCACTTCTCCTGGGGTGGGCCGATCCTGCACTGTGGCCCCAGGAGATTCGCCTCCCCACATGGGGTTGGGCTGCCCTCTTGGGCAGGGGAGGCTTTGTCGTACCGGTAGTAGGGCGTCGTTTTCAAAAGAATTGTCTTTCCCTTCTAAGGCAAAGGGAAGGCAGCAACAGGAGTACCTGAAGCTGAATGTCTCCGCTGGGCTCCGGTTGCAGGGAGGAGCCCTGGCTGGCCACGCATGGCTGCGCCAAACGCCGGCAGCACGGGGAGAAGGGAAAGCAATGGTGGCGGAAGGTCTCGCAATACAAAGTGCCCCACCAACGCCGAAGTCAACATCCAAGCCATCGCTGCCTGCCCACCCGAGGATTCAAGGGGGGGATTAAGTCACCCCTGAAAAGACGGCCTAGCCGTTTTTTTGGGGGGGGGGGTAAAAAAAATAAGGCCCAGCCTTATTTTGTGAGAAACACAGTAGTAGTGTACACTTTGTAAATAGTTTAACAGTGTTGAGAGAATTATTTGTTTAGCAGAGTGATGGCTTTCGGGGAAAAACTGTTCTTGTGTCTAGTTGTTCTGGTATGCAGTGGTCTATAGTGTCATTTTGAGGGAAGGAGTTGAAACCGTTTGTGTCCATTTACAGTGGTCTGTAAATATTTTCACAGCCCTCTTTTTGACTCGCGCAGTATACAGGTCCTCAATTGAAGGTGGGTAGTAATTGTTTTTTCTGCAGTCCTAATTATCCTCTGAATCCTGTGTCTGTCCTGTTGTGTTGCAGAACCAAACCAGACAGTTATAGAGGTGCAGATGATACACTCAATAATTCCTCTGTAGAACTGTATCAGCAGCTCCTTGGACAGTTTGAGCTTTATGAGCTGGCACAGAAAGAACATTCTTTGTTGCACTTTTTTGATGACGTTTTTGATGTTAGATGTGCATTTTAGGTCATGTGATATAGTAGAACCTAGAAATTTGAAGGTCTCTAGCCTAGCAACGGAGCTTCCTATTATGTCAACAGCGTAGGAAGAAAGGGGATAATGGGTTTTCTGATGTAGTCTTAATGTCAGCAATAAAACTACCGCTATATCTTGAATCTGTATGCTTGAGTGCACAGCCTCATCTCAGATTTATCTAGTATATTCCAGCAGGATGATTCATCAGAATTTAAGGGAAGCAACTTGGTTTTGATACTGCTCATTATACCATATAACATTTAGCATTATTCTGATCAGGCTTTAGAGCAGAGGTCTCTTGGCAACTTTAAGACTTGTGGACTTCAACTCCCAGAATTCTCTAGCCAGCTAGCTGGAGAATTCTGGGAGTTGAAGTCCACAAGTCTTAAAGTTGCCAAGTTTGGGGACCCCTGCTTTAGAGGATGGAAAAGTTTTTGACAACCATACATTTCATTTTAGGCATGGCATCAGAAGAGACAAGTGGCTCACCATACTTAGATTACATTAATTTTCTATTAAAAAAGAAAAAAAACACCAGTTCCAATGAGATAATTTTTTTAATTATTTTGTGAAAAACATACTTTTTGACGATGTAAAAACTGTTGCCTGAATTGTCTTACTCTCTCAGTAATCCACAAAATTAAGCCTACATCCTTTTGGGCCAAACAGTTGTGCTATAATATCATACAATGTTTTTGCTTTGAACTATTTATCAAGAACACGCATTCTGAGCTCTCTTTCCAAAGGATGGGGCAAATATTTTACAGTTCACACTGCAAGTTTCACTAGAATGCAAAGCTTTAAAAAACAAACAGATTTGTTACACATTCCAGCTCCTTGGTAGAAAACAAAAATTCAAGTGGACGGCAAACTTGAAGAAGAATGTTACTTTATAGAGCTAATCCAAGATGACTTTGAAATCTTCACATACTGATGGCTGTATTACTTCACTAAGCAGCTGCATGGTAGTTTCAGGAATTTGCCAAGTCAACTGTAATTTACCTACAAAGAAAGAGTAACCAATTACTTCTTTAGTAAAGCCAACAAGTTATTCTGAACAGATGTTCCAGATCATCAAGTACTTGGCTTTAGAGAAAAGCAGGCAGCAAAGCCCTGAAAAAGTCCTATACAGGTAGTCCTCCATTTATAACAGTTCATTTAGTGATGTTCAGTTACAACAGCACTGAAAAAAAGTGATTTATGATCGTTTTTCATACTTACGGCCTTTGCATCATCCCCATGGTCACATGATCAACATTCAGATGCTTGGCAAGTGATTCATATTTATGACGGTTGCCGTGTCCCGGGGTCATGTGATCAGCTTTTGTGGCCTTCTGACCAGCAAGTCAATGAGAAAGCCAGATTCACTTAACAACCAAGTTACTAATTTAATAAATGTAATGATTAGCTTAACTGTGGCAAGAAAAGTTGTAAAATGGGACAAATTCACTTAGCCAATGTTTCACTTAGCAACAAAATTTTGGGCTCAGTTGCGGTTGTAACCAGAGGACTACCTGTAGTCATCTTCCTTCTGTAAGGTTAATGATTAATATATTTAGAAATAATTTGTTTAAATATTTCATTTAAAAAAATAATGAATTAGATCACAAAAATTACCAATTCACATGGCTCAACTCTGCTAAGAATAATCAATTCATTCATTCATTCACCCATGCATTCATTCTGTTGTTGTTACGCTTAGCATTTGTCTCGCTTGGTTGCAGAGTCTATTTGATTTGCATTGTGTTTGCTTCAGTTCACATAATGAAACTATCAATGCATGATGTGCTAAATTTTGGTTTTCAGCCAGTTTGTTCAAGAAGCTGATTTGGGCTGTTACGTGTGTGTGTGTGTGTGTGTGTGTATGTATAAATGAAAGGATTGCTAAATTTTGGTTATGTGACACCAAATTATTGTTAATTCTTAGTGAGCGAATAGATAAATTATCTCCATGATGATCTTTGCCTAACTTGCTCATTTCAGGTCTTCCAAAGCTCCACTCACTGCTGTAACTGAGTCATACCTGTCTTCTGATCGTCCTCTTCTTCTCTTTCTTTCTACCTTTCCCAGCATGACAACCTTCTCCAGAGAGCTAGATCTTTGCAGGATAATTTGAGTCTGGTCACTCGAATTAGAACTCATTTTTTATGATCTATATTACTTTCCACAGTATTCTCAGGAGATTTCTTTAATAACCACAGTTCAAAAATCTTTTCAAAGTCAATATTTATTTTCCATTGGGTGACACATGGAATGTCATCTCTTACACAATTCTGATCTTTGTAGGTATACATATGGTAGTTCTTGACTAATGACCACAACTGAGTATGAAATTTTGGGTTTAAATTGTTGCAGTTTTACAATGTTGCTAAGCAAGTCACTGTGGTTAAGGGAATCACTTGCTCACTAAGTGAATTGCTCAGTGAATAACTTAGCGATTCACTAAGTTAGTTATTACCTGTATAACTGAATGGCTTGACTCCAAATGTTGTGGGTGCTGCATCACTAGAGGTTTTTAAGAAGAGCTTGTATAGCCATTTGACTATAATGGTATAGGGTTTCCCTCTTGAGTAGGTGGTTAGAAGACTTCCAAGGACCCTTCCAACATTGTTCCTAAGTCTAATGGGTCTTTTTTGCTCAAAAATGACAAAGAGCCATTTGACAAAATCAAATGACTATGGATTTTGCAACTGCTCATAAATCTAATCCAGTTGACAAGAGCCCAAAATGCAACAACTGGACTGCAGGGGTGGCGCAGCAGTCGTAATTTTTGAGGATGAATGTAAGAAACTTTGTTCAAGTCTATCATAACTTTGAACAGTCATTTTGCAACTGGTTGTAAGTCAAGGACTATCAGATACATCACAGCACGCGAAGATCTTTTCCAAGATCTTCATGGCTGCTTTACCAAGTGCTAGTTTATGGCACATTTCTTGACTGCTTGTTCCGTTATAGTTCATTACTGATCCTAAAAGGCAGAAGATATCCACCACCTTGATATCTTTATTGCCAATTCTAAGGCTTGCTGTTCTATCTGTTGCCATGAGTTTGGTCTATATCAGGGGTGTCAAACTCATGTTGTCACATGATGTATTGGGACTTTCCCCCCATTCACTAAAACGTGGGCGTGGCCAGTGCATGACAGCCCTGGTATAAATGTTTATAATTTTATTCCCTTTTTTTCATGGTGCACCTCGATTTTTAGAGCTTGTAAATCCTTTGCATTTTCAAATTTAATTTCAAAAGACACCCATGATAAAGTTTTGGATTAGGAGCAGGAGGCCCAGGTTTTAATTCTTCCTTGGGTACCAAAGTTAGTTGCGACACCTTGGCCTTAAAGTATGATTTAAAAAAACGCCTATCTACCTATCTGCCTTGGATCAGTGTGCCGATTATAGTTTATAATTTTCAAAAAAAGGCCTTCATCTTGCAGTGGTTTGATTTGGAGTGATAATAATAAAAATACATATGCATATACTTTTATTGCAGGGAAGATGCCAGTCATGGTACAGATAACATCTCCTAGTTAAAGAAGAAATATCTAGACAACATTCTTCAGATTATAAAAATCTCCTTATTGTACCAACATTCCGTTCATAAATTAAACTCAGGACAGAGTTCTCTGTATGCTCGCTAAAAGAAAAATACAATTTTCTTAACAATTTATACTAATTACCACAGTAACTAGGATTAATTTGAGATCGGTTTACATTTTTAATTGAAAATTAAAGTTAGAAAATAATGCTTTTGTATATTGATAACAGGTTACAGTGTTTCTCACAAAATAAGGCTGGGCCTTTTTTTTTTTTTGCCCCCCCCCCCCAAAAAAATGGCTAGGCTGTCTTTTGGGGGGTGACTTAATTCCCCCCCCTTGCATCCTCGGGCGGGTGGATGGGCAGCAACGACTTGGATGTTGACCTCGGCGTTGGTGGGGCACTTCGTATCAGGAAACTTTCCGCCACCGTTGCTTTCCTTTCTCCCTGTGCTGCTGCGGCGTTTAGAGCAATGTCGCGGTGCTTGGTGCAGCCATGTGCGGCCAGCCAGGGCTCCTCCCTACAACCGGAGCCCGGCGGAGACACTCGGCTCCAGGCGCTCCTGTCGCCGCCTTCCCTTCACTTTCGAAGGCAAAGCCAATTCTTTTAAAAACGACACCCTACTACCGGTACGACAAAGATTCCCCTGCCTGAGAGGGCAGCCCAACCCCACGTGGGGAGGCGAATCTCCCAGGATCTCAGCGCAGGATTGGCCCACCCCAGGAGAAGTGCCCAGCCGCCATCCCTGCCTGGTGCTGGGCAGAGCGCGAAGAGCTTCACCTGGGATGCCCAGCGCAGCAGACAGGCGAGCCCTCCTGCCTGGCGGTGGAGCTCTCGCAAAGGCAGCGAGTGCCTTCCCGCCGGACCCTCTCCTCATCTTGCCAGAGCCATGCAGGCTGGGTAGAGCCAGGAAAGTGAGCCGCAGGTGCGCGCCCACCTGCCAAGCAAAAGAGCCGGGCCGACCCGAGCTTGGTTTCCTTCCCAAGTCCCTCCAGAAGAGGGAGCCCGAACCCGAAGAGGCCACCAGGAGAGGTCGCCCAAGGCAGTTATAGCGCCCACCCATCCGTGGACAGAGAGGCAAGGTGACGGCCTGCGCTGCGTTCTCCTCTGAGCTGAACCCCATGTGTGCCTACGCCAAACACCATGGCGTTGCTTTAAACACCATGGCAGCACGGGGAGAAGGGAAAGCAACGGCAGAAGGTCTCCCGATACGAAGTGCCCCACCAACTCTGAGGTCAACGCAGGCAGCACCATATCTGGGTATGCAACAAAAGTACTTCCTAACGGCAAGCCCCCCCCACCATTCCCCCCATTTGGCATGTTTAATATAGGTCTTAATTTGGGGGGAGGGGCTTAATTTGATTTTATGCCTATAAAGCATGCTGGGACTTCCTATTGGGGGAGGCTGTATTGTTGGAGAAAGACGGTATTTGTTAAAGAGTCATGTATAATGCTATACTATTATATCAAAAGCACAATTGGACATAGAGATAATACTTTGAGAACACAGTAGCAGTTGATGAACATTACACTGCTTATATAGACTCTACTGAGGCGGACGGATACATTTACTGATATGCACAAGCAAATATAATACTTATTTCAGCCCAGCAGCTGTTAGTAGCAACCTGTTACTTGCAGCTGAAGCTAGACTGAGGCTGACCACTATGTCCACTATGTTGGCCAGACAATCTACCGAGGAATGGTTGTCACAGTTGTCACTGCTAGACTGTGAAGTTCAGTGGGGTAAGCTGAGAAGCTAATTCTAGTCTCCCTCCTCAAATGACGTGGAAAGAAGAATAATTATATCTGACAGGGCTTACAGAAAGATGTATCTAAGGTCCACAATCACAACACTAACCATCACATTGTACATACAATGTATTCACGCTCTATGCATTCACTTAAAAACATCTAAAAAGTATGAAAGACATCAAAGGACACGAATACTTACACTGTCTGAGAGGTTCAAGAAGACACTTGTAAATCACCCTGTGATTTGCCAATTTAGTGCTGAAGGCATGGTAGGAGAGCCACTGAACTGCTTTGTAAGAAAGTGGAACTGAACTACCTGTTACAAAAGACAGAAAGAAATCCCCTAAGCTTATAAATGCATTTTGCGATTCTGTATGATCGCTTTTCTATAAAACATCACTACTTTGGCACTCTTATTGCAGCAAATGAAGGGACCAACCAGACTTGACATTTGAATGTACTACCAGTTATTTCATTTTACTTCAAACCATGCTGTTGTCACCCCGATGGGAGAATGATTACACACAGCAGATTTAACCCCTCACTGATGTCCCCTTATTTTGCTAATGTCAAAATAAATGGTTGTACCCAGCACTAACCAGTGAGATCTTCCTTTCCAAGCCAAAGAACACCTCACAGAGGAAGCAATCAGTTCAAAGGGGCTTAATTGTTCTTTGATAATGTTATCTAGCTGGGTATTGAAATGTCTGCAAGCAACCGAGCTAAGAGAACACTCCACAGTTAACTGCACTTCTCTTAATGCTACTGTAGTCTCTGTATTCTTAGAGGCTATTTGAAGGGAAAAGGGAATAGGAACTTCCAATAATGCAACTTCCAGGTTAATGTGCTTTTTAAGAAATGCAAAAAGAGCCATTTTGCTGTAGTCGTTAAGATATTGGTTTAGAAATCAGGAGACTATAAGTTCTAGTCCTGCTTCAGGCACAAAGTTAGCTAGATGACCTTGGGCTAGTCAGTCACTCTCAGCCCAGGAAGAGGCCATAACAAACCAGTTCAGAAATCTTGCCAGTATTACTACAGGGACTGTCCAGGTAACAGAAGGCATACAAAAAAAAAAAAAGTCAGCCTGGGGCAGCCATTTTAAAGGTGGTATTGGGTTTCAAATATTTTTATTTTACCTACCTGCATTTTTAGCTTTTAGAGCAGAGAAGCAGTATGAAGCATTATCAGAGATGACCATCAGAAAGAAACGTGGGTTGTTTTTGATATGGTGATGAAATGGGAGCTGGAGAACACAGGCATGAAATCTGGTATGAAAAAAGCCAGAGATATTCCTTGCTTACAAGGGTTTCAGATGTACCGGGATTTAATGTCACTGAATTAAGAATTCTGAGGCGGAGTTTGTACTGGATCAAGTCAAAGAATTGCATGTGAGGGGATGGCTTTAAGGCCGGCACATATATGGACTCTTAAGGGACTCCCTACTGCTTGGGAACTTTAACTGTTCTCCATTAACTCTTGAACCGAATAGTGACACAACACAGAAGAAAGCACCAAACTTCTCCTTCCATTTGGCCTTGACCAAAGGGCATGTTCTATAATTCTGATAAGCAAATGTTTGCAGAGGGGGGGGGGAGAGAGGGAGGAAAAAATAAACTCTTGCAAGAGAAAAGATTTGTTCAATTGTAAAGTTGTTAAAGAATTATCAGTACTTAAGAAAGTGAAGATGGGAATTCTAACACAGCAAGCAAGGGCAAGGCAGGAAGATGCAGGTCAAAGCCCAGAAAGATTTTATCCAGACACAATGTTCCAGAGGCTAAACTGGTTAATAAATTACATGCTTACCCTCTGCTTTTTGACAACAGAAGGCATCAGGGGTGGAAAGCAACTGCATATTCACAGTTGTTTGAACTGACATAAACTGACATTTTGATCTAAGAATGATGCAGATGCATTCCTAGTAACATTTACTTAACTGAGAAAGCTACAAATGACCACAATGAAGTGCAGCCAAACTTGCACAATTGCAGTTCTGAGGAGGACTTCTATATATTCGCCATCATTGGGCATGCTGCTATGCCTTTCTAACTGCCCCTTCAATTTTTTCCAACTAAACTAATCTCTTTAGACTCAAAGATTTCCCAGGTAATGAAACCAAACCCATGTCCCCTTAGTTTCATTTTAAAACAGTTCACTTTTTTGCACCGGCTGATTTCTTGGTGAAGATTTCTTGTGCTATTTTACTAGAATATTGGGAGGGGCGGGGAGAACTGTTACCACAGGCATAGAAGGAAAAGCATTTTCCAGTAAAACTCTGGAACAGAGGAATAAGGGACAGCTCAAACGTTTTCCAGAGAACAGATTACCACGATTTGGTAATTCGGTCTAAAGGAAATTGTAAAGTTAAATCTCTTATCTGTAGGTGGCCAGATTAAAGGAAAAACTTTGGGGAAGAAGGAGACACTATGAAAGCTGTTCTGCTGGTGATTTATTTGTGTGAGGTGGGGGATAAATTGACAAAGGAAAATGGTTGTAGGAAACAGGTGTGTACTTTAAAGAGCATATACCTTGAGGAAACATAGGAAGTAATTTCAAGTAATTGGGAGTTTTGGAACTAAAGGCAGTTCATCCCTTTTAGAAAAATCACTATGTAAAATTATCTTAGGCAAGTATTATTTGTGGGACTCATAAATCATTAAAGCATCTTCCCAAATCCCCAACTGAATGGACAACAGTATAAGTAATTACCATTTTTTAGAAAAATCTGAGAACTGCGAATTCTATCTGTATTACAACTGCAGCATTAGAAAGCATTATCAGGAGGAATATGGGTTAATACTGGAAGTTAATAATGAAGGCTGCCCAGATAATGTTTATTACGCTAGATGTATTCAAAACACCACATTAAAGGGCCAAAGCCCAGCACATTCAAAAGCAACTTTGAGAAAGTGTAGTGTGACATTTTCCTATCCCACATCATATTCCAATGGCAATTAACAGGGCTTTAAAGTTACCATGCTTACCTGTAAGCCTGCAGAAGCAGTATCTTGTAAATATTAATGCATACTGTCTTAAGACAATTGATCTAAATTAAGAGCAGGGAAAATAGAAAAAGATATGTTTCTTCAGTGCAAACAAACATCCATTAAATCAAATTAAATCAAAATGGCAGGTTGAGGGATATAGTAAGTATCTTATGTGTCAACATAGTAAGTATCTTATATAGTGATGCCAAGAGAACTAGAATGACATCAGTTTCTAGTTCAAGTTGATTGTGGTGGCACTAAATACCTAGATTTGATGGTAGATTTGAGATCACTGTGCATATAATGCACTTTTCAAGCATCCCTTTTGAATTGTGCATTCTCTTACCTGTAAATCTATAAATAAAGAATGACATTTTAGCTGCAGGACTGCAAGCAATTTGTTTCTCATGTTCACACCAGCTTTTCTAGTAGAGTTGAAAGACAGGCTAGACCTGATAGATGTATAAGCATAACTGCAGTGAAAGATAAGTGGAGAAGGAGATCAACATTATTTAGGCATCATTATAGTTAATCAGAGTTTTTTTTTCCTACTACAAGAATATATTTGGCTTTTACAAAATTCAAAACACGGATATTTGACATAATGGCTATGTAGAGAAACATTAGACACCCATTAAAATTAGAAGGTAATAATACCTTAAGCATTTTGATAGCAAGCTGTAACTTTAAAAGAGCTGACTAATTATTTGCAAGTTTATAGAAATGATTCTGGACTTATGAAGATCACTTGGAGTTTCCCGGAATTTAGGATTATTGTTGGGTTATCTACCTCGTCCTCTTATCACATGAGTTGCTAGACATGGTTCCTGGTCCCTCTTTCAACTGTTACTGCTCCAACAAGTTTCCTATCAGTGCTGTCATCTTGATGATGCAATTCAGGTTGAAAAATATAAAATATTGAAACCTGCTGAATGGTCAACTCTATTCATTCTAATTATTCCTTCACAGAAATCCGAAATACCCCATTATTAGTTTTCCACAAATTATCAAATTATCAATGCATTTATCAAAAAATGCATTCTTACTGACTGTGTGGTAGGGCATTTTTTGTGCCAGCCAGATTTAATCTGCAAACAGCAAGGATTTAAGTTTTATATTAGTCAGAATGGATTGATTTCAGGTTATAGAAGAGGTTCGAAAGCTTACTTTTTGTTCCTAATAATGTATATTACTTACGCTATCAAGTTATTTTAGTTGATTCATCTATTTCTTAATTTATATAATCTTTGTGTTATTAAACAGATACTTTGGGGAGACAATATGGTCTACTGCACTATTAACCATTTTCACTATGATTTTATATTTCATATTCTAACTAAATTGCCACAACCAGCCTTTGAGAATAAGGAAATATGCCCTTCATCTGTGCACATTATTTAATTTAACTTTGCCCACTAAATTCAGTCTCACTGATTCATCCATTAAATCTTTGGTTTATCAACTCACTGATTAAAGCATCCAGCCTTAATGTTAAAGCAATAACTATTCCTGAATAGTACATACCTGGAGTAATCACAGTAAATTTCAAGAGTCTGTGTATTAATTAATAATCCACACCATGGGATAACACAGTAAGTTGGTAATTGTTTGAACTCCAAGCAACCTGGAACATTTTCATCCATTGGAAAATTCACTACAGTCTTAGACGGATTTATAACAAAGCCATACTCTGGAATGCCTTTGGCTAGAGTCCTATATGAATGAAAATACACGTTCCGAATTGCTACCTGAAAATATATGCATCATGTATTCCATCACAATAACTAACTGCACAGATACATATGATAAATTCCTCCAAATAAGTTGTAAACTGTAGAGTCTCTCAAAAAATGGCATCCTCCTGTTATATTGAAAATGCATCCCCTAAATTTTAATATTGTTAACAGTTGATAGCAGCGAAAAGCCACTGTAGGTAAGAGTTACACCTGATAAGTTAGGTTTCGATGTCAAATATTAGAATTGCTAATTTAAGCAATATAGGAATAACCTAAAATACAAGAACTTTATAAACTCTCCTGTCCCCCAATTGGCTTTTCTTCAGTTATGTGAATTTAACCACTTCTACTTAATTTCCCCCCTTATTTTATGAAGCCTGTTTTGGTTTTGCTAACCATACAAGGAGCAAGTATTGATCATTATATTTAAAATAAGTGTACCAGCAGGGTTATAGCCCATTCTTTTCAAGGAAATCATTGCTAGTTCAATGGGAAAGTTTATTGAAAGTTTCAGTTTATCTCCTCTTGCATATATTCTAAAGAAAGAATATATTTAAAAGAAAGCATTTTAATTACATTTTTATGGAATACCATATCTGCGCATGGGTAGAAAAATGTGGAAGAAGAGTAGAACAGGAGAAGGTAGGAATGTTTTCATTCCTTTGTGTACAAAAAAATAAAATTCAGCGATATTTTATTAAAGCACTCATTAAAAATTCATTGTCCTACCTCAGAAATGTTTTTGCTTGTTCTAAATGAGGTGTAACAAGCAGAAAATCATCTGTTAAACGCATCAGTACTCTGTAATGTTAAAAAAAGTAAATATCTTGGTCTTGGGTACAGTTATATTTTAAAGCATGAATACATTGCTCATAGTCTTCATTTTTCAATTACTTGAGGTAAATGTAATATACACATTACTACTACTATTCTATTATCCAAATCTGCAACACAATTTTTTTTTACCAGTGCTATAAATTAAGCTTTCACCCATAAATAAAATTGGCGCACACACACAAAACCAGGACTATGATTTCTGATCATCACAATGACGGATGAATCCAATTGCTGTGTTTAATTCCCATATGATGAGAAGCTGATTGGACTTGAATATGGGCAAAGGAATACTTTGGGGGGGGGGACCTAACTCAAGCTTTTCTGACAACTTAAGTAAGGATAATAGGATATGCTTGGGTTTTTGCGGACCTTCTCCATACCATCTGCCAGGCCTCAGCGTCAAGCAGAAGATAAAAACAAAGACTTCCTTGGATCAAATGTAGCTTAAATTGTATGTGTCCACATAACCTTCCTGGCAGTAGAAATGCTTTGTCACGGACTTTTTCCTAGATGGTTTTCAGACTTTTTAATTCAGGATATGCCTTCAGAATTTCTGGTAACCTCTCATCCAAGCACTAACCAGCAGTATAATAATCATTACTGATAATTAAAAAATCCCCAAATATCTTGCTAACGCTATAATTTTGCCAGAAATCCTGATGCATTGCAAGCAAATCAAATTTACTCTACATACATTTAAGAAAGATTGTATTAAGAATGCTTATCCCAGCACCACCTGCACAGAAGGGACTTCCCCAAAGTCACAAAATAATTTAGTTTTGAGTCAAAGTGGGAGAAGGTTATAAATTCATTGTTGGCTCTTGCACACCTTTATACAGGGGTTATATAGGCAAAAGTAGGCTCCCTTGATGTGTTTTAATGGCCTGGAATAACATGCCAATATTTACTTGTAAGAAAGACACATGCTTATTGCTTGATCCAGAAAGTCTTGACAAAGTGCTGGTCTTTTATTTCATTTCATGCTGCACTTTTGAAGAAAGAAACTCTGCATTCTTAGGTGTATAACCAGAGAATCTGTTTGGCATCGCTTATAGCAAAAGATGACAACCTTTTCTTCTTTTGTATTCCGAAATGGATTCTGGAAGGAGTATTTTGCCAGAAATGCCACTATTTTTATGAAGTGCTAGCAAGAGACTTTTGTCAGATTCCTGGAGACAATCAAAGAGCTAAAATTCCCAGGTCTGTTTCAAACGCAGCTCTGAAAATAGTTTACATTCTGATGCAGATACATATGGGTATTGGAGAGGTGGTAATAGTGGCATGTGTCCTTGCATCACACAAGTGTGGCAAATTAGTGACATCATGCAATTCACACAATATAATTTGCATAAATTTGATTTCACAGTGACACATGAAACATTATAGCTTCAACCTATATATATAGTCTTCCTATATTTCAAGTTGGCTAGTTTGTCTTACTGTTTCTCAACATACATCTGTTGGATTATAATTTGATAGACAGAATTGGAGCAGGGATAGGCTCTGATCTCCAATATGCTTGGCAGACATGCAGGAGGGAAATAATTCCGGGTAATCCCTCCATCTCCTTTTGTCCTTAATTGGAAGAGTTTATGCTGGGCTTTGTTATTATATATAGTAATGAATGATACTTAACTTTTCTAAAGATTCTACACAACAGAGTTTGGTCCTTTGGGAATGGCTAATATGCCAAACAGCAAAATAACACCTTACCCGTCCTTTTGCACATCGCACAGTAACTTATTCTCCATGTCTCCATAGCAAAGGTTGCAAAGCAGAGTTGATAAAATGGAGCCCTGGGGAATTCCACAGCGCTGCACATAGTACCTGAAAAATGCCAAAAGTCCACTGTCATTAAGAACTTAAATCTGATAGCAAAACAAGGTTAGTTGTAATAAGGCTGATCATTTCACTGCAATAAGGAAGTATTTTCTGATCGGCAAATTGTGTATAATATGAGAAACATATGACATTGACAATGATTTCCCTGTAAATAGAGTGAGTAAATGGGACTTGAGCTAGAAACTTGGTGTAGGGAGGAGAAAATAGGCTTTTCTGTTCTGTTGGAGAGCAAAACTCAGAATTCTGAACCAGTGTATTGATTCATCTGCTCAGCATTCCCTCAATTAAACACCTATTTGTCTCCCCCACACCTTGCAATAAAGATTCACACTGGTATATCATGGGCTTCTCCCTAACTACTTCCTCTCTTTACCTTGAACTACGCATGCAGCAGCATGAAATGGAACATTTCTGACATAGTTGAACTTACCGAACTATATTTTTAAGTTTGTGGATCATGAAAATATTGTTAAAATCTTCTCCTGCAGTAGAACACAATGCATTCAAAACTCTGGAGAAGGCTAACTATCTGATGGATTTGGTCTATTTGTGTTTAAAATAAACCTTACTATATGGGACAACAGTAAATATTTCACTTCCCACTTGCAGGTACATTCCACACACCAATCAGGATCCCGTTCACTATGATTTTCCTAGGAAGAGCATAGGATGTGGGCAGGATGCATGGCCCTCCCAAGCTCCGTTTTCGCTGGCAGACGTACTGTGGGCTGGTCCTTTGCCATTTCCAGGGAACCCTGCAGGCCAGATCTAAGTACCCTGCGGGCCAGGTTCAGCATGCCTTGAGTTAGACACCCCTGCTCTAGGTCTTTGCAAGATTTTTGATGGTTTAACAACAGTCAGTCACTAACTAATACTAGGCAAAGATGGGTGATGGAAGGGGTGATGGTGGAAGGTAATTGAAGAAAAGATTCTGAAAAGGTATTTTCAGAAGACTTCGCTTACATAAATGTTTCCAAGTTTTCTAAGCAAAAACATCATGCACTGCTTAATTGCTTTCAGAAGATGATACTATTTCATATAATTCAATAAATTACATATGCCCTAAGTCCATAACTTTTTTGGGAAAGCCTTTGAAGCACTACATGGGAGCTGCAGAAAAAAACAAAGAGAGCACTTCATGGATATAAGAACAGATATAATTGACATTAGTATATCAAGAAGAAAACGGAGATAAGCCAATGGTAGGTTTGGAAGCATTTCTTCTTTCACGTTTGTAAATTGATTTCCCAATCCAACGTCTGCCACCATTTGAATAAGCAGATTCATCCCCAGTTCTTAGATGCTCGTCTTGGTCCACAGTTTACGTAAAGTTCATTCCTGCCCTCTAATGTCTCCTGTTCATCTCCTAAATGCTCTGTTTGCCCTCTACTATATCCTAATCTATGTTTTAGATAAATTGGTCCCGTTTCAATCAACTCTTTAAAAAATAGTAATAGAATGAATACATAAATGGATGACATTTCAGGAGATATCTGAACAAATTCAAGAGGAAAGGCTGGCTGGCGAAGCACAGAGTGTTTTGAGGTTAGAATCAGTTTAAATCCTGGCTGATGTTCTGCCTTTTACCCTCAAGAGGGTTAAGGATGATCTTTAGAAGAAAGGATTATTTGAAAATCGCACAGCAATGACTGTAACTGAATGAACTGAAAATGAAAAGCCTTGTGAAAAAAACACAACATGAACAGCAAAATAATAAAAAGCCTGTGTGTCACCAAGAGAAATGATCATTGTCACTTTACATGCCATCAAAAGTGGCAAGAATAGTAATTGCTTAAATCTGCCCCCCCCAAGCAACAACAGCCTAAATAGTTCTGTTAATCTCCAAAAAAGAAGACCTCAAAGCCTTTAGTTTGTGTTTGAACTTCATAGGCCACTGACAGTTTTGCAGCCTTTGACAATAGCTTCATTCCCTCAATTACACAATGGGAATATCTGACAAGAGATAGGCAGATCAAGAAGATAAATGCTGCCAATTCAGCTTCTGCACACAGCCTAGTGAAGAAATCCAAGGTTCCTTAAGGTCAATAAATCCTCCAATTTGGGGGATTGTAGAGTTCTTAGTTTAGAGAAGTGTGAGTTAGAAGCATAGAATTTGCCATTTAAAAAGTGCTAGCACAAATTCATGGCAAATCAATGGCTCCTCTCCAAGATGATTATACAATATTTCTTGTAATAAAGGCAGCGGGGCTTTCAGTAATAATTGCTACAGAATATGGGTAGGATATTCAGATGTTCAGCCTGTGGCTCTCAGGGGCCATCTAGTGGTCCATTGTGGAAAAGAGTGAAAGGGTTTGAGGCCCTTACCCAATTGGGTTCTCTTTACACTCCTGTCCCAATTAAAACCCAATCAAAAGCAAGTTGCCATGTGAAACATTCCTATAAAGCTTAGAAGAAACATGTACCTGTCCTCAATCTTCAGGATATTATTATGGATCAACTGCAAGAAAAACTCACGGAGGCTAGAACAGCTTTCCTTCAGAGAAACTCTCTGCAGTAACAAAAGGAAAAGCAACTATAAAAACAGCCCAGATAAAATATTCTTAAATGAGACTTGTGCATTTTGGGGTTGCCAAATCAGTAAATTAAGTGAAGAAATCCCCCCCTACTTTGCAGTTAATGACTGTCCCTTGATAATTATCACCTACTTTATTAGGAAGGAAGGGGGAGGGGAATGTAATTGCAAAAGGCATAAATCATCTTCTGATGTGATATTAAGAAGCAAATTAAATTAGGCAAAACAACCTATACACATCCATGTAACCCAGGATCATGGTATTAGCTCAACTATAGTTTTCAACATGGATTATTTGCAATGTATATGGCCAAACTTCTAAGAACCTCTTCTATATTTAAAAGTCCAGTATGTGGTGGTATTACATGAAAGAAAAAAAGTTGTTCAAAAATTGAAAATATTTATAATCATGATCCATAATAAAATAAGGATAATGTATAATAAAATAAAGATATCCATCCAAAAGACACTGAATGTTACTTCCATCTAGTGGCAGTAAGTGGTAATAATATCCAATCAGCTATACTCAAATATTCCAATAAACATATGTGTACAGTCAATTGAAAGGCAATTGATAGAACACTTGAATGGGCCCCATTTGAGACTATATAAATGTCCAATTCAAAAGGTATACATTTTACATATGCAAATATTAAGGTTTCTTATAAATTTTCCTTTGAAATATGAAGTTATTTGGAATAGCTATCTTGACACCCATTAAAATATATTGAAGCATTAAAGTAAGACAGAAACCAGGAGGAAAAAATGAAGTGAGTTGAACTTTGAGCCAGGTTTGTAAATGTTTAACATTTCAAGATACAGTGAGAGGCAGATTTCAGACTTGCAAACCAAGTCTTCTCAGAGAGTTTAGACTGAAAAGCAGCTCTCTGAAAGCTTGCTGAAAATATGCAGACGTTTGTAAATTCTTCTTTCCAGAAATATAAATTCTAGCTGTTAAATTACCTGTTCAACAATTACAGCATTTCTCAGCGAAGTGCTCTGTTGAAGATGAGATACAAACTCTTTCATTCCATATATAAACTCATTGTAAGTTGAGACCTGTAAAAACATTCAAATTAAATTATTTCTAACTTCAGAAAAGACTATAACATATAATGTAAAACAGGAAAGGGTAAGATATCTGAGTAAAAAATTACCAATAATTTTCAGATATAGAAATTAAAATTCAAAAGACTTCTTATAATGCCCAGGATAAAAAACATAATTGGGGTGAAATGGGACTGGCCATTTATATCAAACAGAATGAAAAAAGCTCTCTTTGAAATTTAAAACCTATTTTAAAAAGTATAATGAACACCATTGGATTGGCCTGAGAATCACTTTTGGCCTGTTAATTTATGTTAATTTATATATAGCTACTTATGTAAAGTATAAATTCAATTAAGATATTAGAATGCATAGGACTGCAGATTGTCAGATATATTTTAATATAAACATTACAGTTTGGAGCCCATAAATGGCTATACTGTTCTTATAGCCCCGTGATGGTGAACCTATGACACGCGTGCCACAGGTGGAACGCAGAGCCATTTGTGCGGGCACGCAAGCCCCAGCCAAACTTACCTGCACTGAGCATGAGCGTGCCTCCCAGCTGATTTTCAGCCCATTTTCGCCCTCCCGGAGGTTCAAGGAAAGCCTCTGCAGCCTCGGGAGGCCGAAAAATGGGCCTTCCAGAAATACCGGAAGTGCTGAAACAGGCCTGTTTTCAGCCTCCCAAGGCTTCCCTTGAGCCTTTGGGAGAGTGAAAACATCCTCCCCAGGGCTCCAGAGGCCCTCCAGAGGCTGAAAATGGTTACTTTTGGTATTTCCAGACATGCATAGTGCAGGTAAGAGGGCGGGGCAGGGGTGCTGCGCACGCATGCGCAGGATGGGCACATTGCATTGTGGGTGCCGGCACACGCGCACGCTTTCAGCACACACAACAAAAAGGTTTGCCATCACTGTTATAGCTCATAAAATGTCTGCGCTCTTCCAGAGATTGTACTGTACACCTTTACTCATTTAATTGCTTTAATGTTAATTTGTATGGCTATTTGAGGTGTGTGTCTGTTTTAATTGTAAACTGCCCAATCATGAATGTATAAATTGAAATATATAACATGAATAAATGAGCAAATAAATAAACAAACCAAAAGCCATTCTGTATGAATGCCATGATAGAAATTACATTTATTTTCAAATATAAAATTAAAAAGGAAAACATTAAAATGTTAAACAATTGCAAAAATCATAGTTAATGCCCATATCCAGGAATCAATTATTTAGCCTAATTGATGCTTCTACTTGTAGAAATTAGGAGATATATCACTTCTGGTGGCAAAATACTATTTTAAGTCCTAAAAGCGAACATAACTTTAAATATAAATAAGAGCATATATAAAAATCCATGTGACCTAGCACATTTAAAGAACCCAACTTTATTCTTTTAGTAATAGTGGGGAACGCTCGTGTCTCTCTTACATGTCTTTTATAATGTTTTTTAATATATCCATTTCCAGTCCTCATGATTGCTGCATAGCGTCGTATGCTGTAAGTGGTATTCCTGGCTGGTTCAAGAACCTGTAAAACCACTTCTACCAGTTTATCATGGGGAAGAGTGTCGTAGGCGCCTGTGACATCAGCCTGGAAAAGAAACGGAGGCAATTTCTTAACTTTCAAATGTCACTCAAAATAAATGTGACCACAATAGAAGAGTATTCACTCACAAAAAGTTGTGCAGTTGTCATGGTTTTCAAATAACATCAGTGTGGATAGTGGCCAAACACTTATAATTCTCCATAAAAAAAAGGAAAGTAAAAGGAGGTAAAATTTCATTTTATTTATTCAATTTCTATGGCACCCCAACTCAACCAAGTGATTCTGGGCAGCTTTGGTTTGGTTATATGTAATTATGCTCACTTTCAGTAAAGTATGGGGATTACTCTTCCCTTCAAAAACCTCTTCATTAAGGTATTTTGTTTTCAGGAAGACTGAACAAAGGTCCAAGACAAGTACAGGGAGAGGAACTATATATCCTGGTTGTAACTGATCTCTGATTCCAACCAAAACTATTTGTCTGACTGTTTATCTGCCTATAAGTGCCCTGACTTTGAAAGAGACAGAATGTAAAGCTTTCAAGCATTTTTGTGGAATTTGTACAAAACAGATATATTTGCTAGATGATGTGGAGAAGTGCAGGGCAAATTTTAGGCTGTAGGACCTTTCCTTTTTCTGGAATCCTGAAGAACAGTTAAAACTAGAGGTAAATTATCATCTAAGGAACAAGAATATAGTCTAGAAATTGGATAACACAATTTTTGTGAACTAGGAAGACTGATTTTTCCTTAGGGATGAAGAGGGAATGTGTTTGATTTCATTGCTGTCTCAATGAAAATCCACGTTTGCCTGAGAATGTCCGTAATTCTACACTCCTGCGTACGTCTAAGGTCATCAAGACCATTTTCCATCAAAAGGTCCTGATACATCTGAAAAGTACAGATGTTAATGGCAAACTATTATTAGAGCCCATGTTGACACGGATTCTTTGAGGAATCAATGTGTTTGGCAGGATGAGAATTGGTTTCCAATCTATATATATAAAAACAAAATACCACTCACGCATCATCACAAAATCTCCAGAACCATAAAGCCTACAAACTTGAAATTTGGCACATATGTTCCTCTTGGCTTCTAGGTGCTTACTAAAAAAGGATTTTTCAAAATGACCATCAAAGCATTAGTATTTTGTATATTATTAACAGGCTCTAATGCTAAGGAGTTCTACCCCCCCTCCCCACCTGAAAAGAAATCTGTTCCAAATGCAAAACACAAACAGTGGAGTTTCTGTTTCAGAGCACCAAGCAGCTTTAGTACAGAACAGTTGAGCTAAGCCATGCCCAGGCTCCTTGCTATCTCCTTGCTCACACAGCAAATACTCTTTCCGTTTCCAAACAGCTCTCAACTCTCTCACACACCAGCAGGATGCTAGCCAGATGATTACCGATGGATGCTGGTAGGCATATTTTCCCCCTTATTTTCCTTCCCCAAAACTAAGCCCGATCACATAGTTTTGTAGTGAAGCACGGGTATCCAGCTAGTTATCCATATGTATGAAGTTCAACATATTGCCTTTATCCACAGAATGTTAGCTGCCCATCCTTTGTCCAACTGTAGCACTGCTCGATGCAGCCTTGTTGTTCTTTGCTTTGTTCTTCTTTCTAAGCTTCCTGGTTTGTCTGGACTATGACCCTGCAATTGCTCCATTATCTCCTATGTTGATTCACTTCAGATAAGCAGCTCCAGAGCTATTCGTCATGAAGCCTCAAGGAGTTGGGAAGGAGGTTCTTTTTGACTTGTCTTTTCACCTTAACAGGAGATGAACTTTTCTGATCAATTCTATTGTTCTAGTGATAAAGAATAAAATACTCCAGACTTCCAAGAAATGAGACTGCATCCTTAACAAAAGAAAAATGCTGAATCTTATTAGAAAGGAGGCCCATTCACAAAGAGAACGGCAGCTCCTGTTTTTTGAACATACCTTCACAAAGTAGAATTTAGGCATTTCAGCATATAGTTCCAAAACCTTTGAAACAAACTTCTTCCATATTATATAAATGTCATCCTTTCCAAACACAGTTGAGCCAAGTATAGCAGGGTTCTTCAGTCGTTCATAATTAAGAACACTAAATACATTTTTAAGTTGCACATTGAAATGTGGACCCTAAAAAAAGAGTTAAAAGAAAAACAATGAATTTCCGCAATATTAAGTGCTTCTCTCATATGAGAGCATAAATTATTCAATATTAGAAAAGAAGGAAAGAGGCTTCAAAAAAATTTCTTAATGAGCTGTTGGAAAGGGCACAGGAAGAAAGAAAAAGTTGCAAGCATGTGATTAAGGAGCAAATGTGATGGGTACATGAAGAAGCTGAGGTCTATGTGAAAAAGAAACCACCTGGGTCACAAGAAATCACTCTTAACTAATACAACATTGAACCTACTTTTAAAAGATAAAAAGGAGAATTATTGTTCAGGGATATTTATTAAATACTTCCTGCATGAAGAGGTATACACTTCCTGTATGAAGAGGTATACACTGATGGTATTTGGATAATGCTCTACCGAAAGGTGTCTCAACAGCACCTGGTTAAGCTTGTCTAAGGATGGAAGCTAAGCAGGGTTGGTCTAGTTAGTAGCTGGATAAAAGTCCTCCACGGAATAACCAAATCTGCAGGTGAAACTAGAAAATTAAAAATAAAAATCTCTCAGAAAGGATTGGTGGCAACCTACTTCTGTATTTTTGAAAGAAAAAAAGACGAGCAATTATAGGTGTATCATTAAATCACCAGTTGAGTTTGATTTCGAAAAAACAAACAAACCCTATCCCAATCTTTTATTGAAAGATTATACAGGAATTTAGAAATGATGCGGGGCGGGGGGGTGGAATTTATTAAGAAACTTTTAAGGAGTGGCTTGCTGGAATAATTACATTGTCCATGGATTGAAAGAAGAGACGAAATCATCAAAACAATCCCATCTTGATTTTTGTTTAGTATAAGATTGGAGAGTAAGAAACTTGGATTGATTTTTCAAGATTTTATTATCATACATTAACCCAACATTAAAATAGGAAATTTGCAATGCCTTTCTTGGCCTGGGCTTTTTAAAAGCTGAGAACAAGAAAGAGATTTGTAGAACCAAAGAGTTAATTCATGAGCTGGATAAAATGTATGGATCTATGCATTAATAGACAGATTGACAACAACATGTATCGAACTATGATCTTTACCTGTTTCTGTTTTCATATATGTATGAATGCACTATCACTAGGCTAGAAAGTATCATATCTTGTTAAATTAGATTGGGAGAAATGGAAAGATCTGCAATTGTCATTAACAGGAAGAATAACTACTATAAAAATGAATATTTTACCAAAACTATTATATTTATTCCAAACAATTCCAATAAAATTGGAAAAAAATATTTTGAAGAACTAAATAAAATAATATTAAGATATATTTGGTTAGGGAAAAAAGGAAGAATAGATTTGAAAATGTTGCAAGACTCTAAAAAGAGGGGGCTTTGGGCTGCCAGATTGGGAACTGTACTACCAGGCCTCGGTACTTACATGGGTGAAAGAATGGATCAATTTGAGGCATAAAAGACTATTAACTTTAGAAGGACATGACCTTCAGCTAGGTTGGCATACTTTTTTATAGTATGGGAAGAATAAAATAGTTACTTTCACATTATATTAGAAATGCATTGTCATCAGTATGGCTTAAAATTAAAGAACAACATTACATAAAAATATCAGTCTGGCTTTCCACAATGGCAGCATTGATACATCCTAGTGTTATTAATATGGAAAAAAAATTGTAGGAAATAGATATTTTGAATGAAAAGGGGGAATTAAAAACCAAGCAGGAACTTAGTACTCAAGGGATGGACATTGTATGGTGGCCAAAAATGCACATACAATCTCAATATGAGAAAGATGCTAAAATGTATGATTTCAATAAAGAATTAACAGAATTGGACCAGATATTAACTGGAATGGATGAAAAACTGATGAAAAAAATATACTGATACTTATTAGGTATTAAACTTGAAAGCGAGCAGGTAAAGGAGATAATAATTGCTTGGGCTAAATTTTTTTGGATATGCAGTAGAATTAGACAAATGACAGAAATTGTGCGGTAGAAATGTTAAATTGATTATGTCAACTGCATATAAAGAAAATTTGTATAAAATATTCTATAGATGGCATTTTGCACCAACAAGACTGGCAAAAATGCATAAGGATAGATCTGTTAAATGTTAGAAATGCAATCAAATACCCGGTTCATATTACCGTATGTGGTGGACATGTCCGAAAGCTAAAAAATATTGGATGAAAATACATACTTGGTTGAAAAAATGATATAACAGCATATAGACATGAAACCAGAAATATTTTTATTGGGCATTCTGCCGGAAAAATATGACAAAAGGACTATATACTGCACTTGATTTTACATGTATTAACTGCAGCTAGAACTGTATATATACGCAACAATGGAAGTGTGACAAGATCCAGCAGACGACAGTGTAATTAAGAAATTAGAATCAGCAGAAATGGATAGCCTTTTGTGGCCTGCCAGCAGAGATGGCAATAGATTCGGACAGTGAGGAGGTTGGGGAGGAATATGGGCCAGTCCTGGAGTCTGGGGAAGGCTCTGATGAATGCTCTGTGTCGGAGACAGAGATGGGGCCAGGGCCATCTTACAGTTATCAGCTGCCTTCAGAGTCAGACATCAGTGAGGTAGAAAGACAGCTGGAGCCGGTTCCCAGTGTACACATGCGCAGACCTGCCAGAAAAAGGGAACAGCTATGGAACAAGGGCCAACTTGGGAGTAAAGCCACAGGTGGACGGTGAATGGTTCCTCCCATAGGGAATAAAAGAAGAGCGAAAGGAGAGTGGGATTTTGCAGAAGACAATTAGTTCATCTGAAGATCTGTTTCTGCATTCTTGCCTAGTACTGGCTGCTATAGTGATGCCTCTGAAAGGTATCAACCTGGCACCTCTCCAAGTCTGATAAAGGTCTGTAATTGTGAAATATCTTGAAAGACTGTTGGCCAGGACTTTGCTGGAGAGGAATTCACTGTAAACTAAATAAAGGGGGTTTATCGGGACAAGGAGTCAGTTTCGTGCTGTTGGGGAAGCCGAGGTCAGAACAAGACTAACACTATTAAGGACAAAGAAGAAACTGAACACGTTTTGACATTGGACTTATTTTATCAATGGTTAAGACAATAAAAACAGAAGTTAGAAATGCAGGGACATAAAAAGGATAAATGTTAAAATGGAAATGTATTAAAATAAACAAGCTAAATATTATTGTTATTCCAGTATTGTTATTGTGATGCTATTGTAAACATTTTGATTATGATTGTACAATTGTACCCAGACAACACAGTTTGATTAAAATGGAATTTTTATATGTTATACAAATAAAGTAAATAAAACGTGGGGGGGGGGGGGGGGAAGAGAACTGGGCTGCGGAACCATGGGTGAACATACATCCCCACTCGTGCGGGCAGTGGGGAAGAGTTTGTGTGTGTACTCGCTGGCCCTTTGCATAGAACCATCCTCTTTCTCTCTCCCCATTGGTCCTCACAGCCGGAAAGGTTGGAGAACTTTGTCCTATGCCACTCACAGAGATGAGGGACATGGTTTTATAATGGTGCTCTGTGCTAGTTGATAGTGATGGGGAACTTCTGGCTGCTGATATAGGGTGCTCCTAAGCTTAATCCTCTTCCTATCTTGTTTAATATCTATCTGAAATCACCAGAAGACATCATTAGACAGTTAAATGCTGATGGTACTGAATTGGTCCTCTCAATCTTGGGCCAAACAGAAGATGCTTCCCTGGAAGGAGCAGATTGATGACTGTAAGTCTTCTTAGATTTCCTGTTGGTAGACATGGCCAGAAGTATGCCATCTGCAACTGTTCTTGGAACCAGATGATTTGCCTTCTGTCATTTTTGGATCATAACCTGTTTGTGGGGGTGGGTGGATTGTTGCCTTGTATTTTACTGGTTAGTTGTAACATTATTCTTTGAAAGCATTAAATGGGCTTGTTTCAAATTATTTTAAGCCACTAGTGTTGGGCAAGTACAGAATGATTGTCAAATTAATAAATTCTTTACCTCATAAAAATTAAGGGTGTGAATAGCAGAGAACATACATCTTGGATGAAAAACATATTTTAATCAATCAATGAAGTCACAAAGAATCTGAGGGCAAGATGAATGAGCAAAGAAGTCCAAGATATCTAAAATCAACTGAATGAATAAAAGGGAACACAAGGTCACTCAAGACAAATAAAGCGGAGTACTCAGATCTATAAACAGCACAACAAAAGCCACAAGTTGCCAGGTGAAGTTGACAAACAATGCAAGGATCAAGTTGGGCTTAAAGGAAAAACAAAGGAAACAATAGACATCTTAGTTGAGATGACATAAAGTTAACAAGCTGTCAGCTCCCCAATGCAATAATTTAAAAATAGGACTGGGTTGGATAAGGATTTCATTTCAGAACTGAGAAGCATTTCATAAGAAATATGTTATCTCAAGTAAAGGCTGCATAAATTGCACTTTAAGTGCCTAAGGTATTTTTAGAGATATTCTAACCTAATATTTCAGTTGCCCTATTATTTCAGTTAGCACACTGCCAATATCCTGGATAGATGTCAAATCAAATGGCTTCATAATTGAAAGGTGTACACTTGGAATGCTCATCTCTTAATACCTCATTAGAACAAAAGATTTCGATAAGAATACCGATTTGATTTGGCTGAGATCTACCTTGCATTTTTAATCATTTTGGGAATAAGATAGAATAGACAAGATAGAATATATAAACATGAAACTGGGAGAAGTAACAAATAACGTTCAAAGTTATCTTGGTGGACAGAACACTGGGCTTAAATTAAAAACGTTATTCAAAAAAGAAAAATATTAAATCCAGGATTTAAGCAAAACAATAAAGGCTAAATGCAAAAGAAATGCATAGAGAATGTATACAAAACGGATGTTTAGATTGTGCTTGATCATAAGCGGAATAGAAATCAGCAACCTGAAGATTCTGCTACAAAATAAAATAAAAAACTGGCAATTGTAAGCTGTATTAATATAAGGATACTTAATACAAAGTAGTAGTTTGATCACTTTATAAAAATGATATCCTAACAGGAACAGTGTTTAATTCTGAATAATATATTTTGAAGATTTAAATGAATTGAAACAGATTTAGAGAAGAGAAACTGCAACAATCAAAGTGTACAAACATATATCTCAGGCCCCTGCCCCCCAAATACATGAATTTGGCCGATGTAATGTTGAATTAACTCAATAAATTAAGGACCTTTTTGTCTCCACTGTTTTTGCAAAATGTTTCTGTTCCAACCACACCATGCTGTTTGACCACAGGCCTCAACCCATTTGGTTTGGGGATGAATCGGAGTTTTGATGCCACAGGAACGTATTTTCTCTGCTGCAAAAGTTCAATATCTTTCTCTAATAAAGGCTGAAGCTGCACTTTGGCCAGATGGTTCCTAAAAGGGAAGTTGGCAGTATTTTAAAATGTACACACGGCAGACTGTCATTTACTTATAAGATTTAGCGGCCAGTCAACTTCAAAGCACCTTCAGGTGGTCTACACTAAAAATAGGATACAGTAGAATTCTATCCTTAAATGACATCTAAATGTTTATTTTGAGGTATAATGTTCTAACTACTACGTTGTCATCCAACAAAAAGTTCCAGAAAGTGGCACCATCCGACTGACCTCCTCTTGGTTTAGAATACAGGCAGTCTCAGACCTGGTTAATACATGGATCAGTAAGTCTTAACTGGAAACGGAAAATAACCCAGAAGAAGGAAATGGCAGAATGTTCCCAAGGAAACTAAGTGGATATGTCTATAATCATCTCAAGTCAAGTTCTGGCTTCAAGGCAACTTCACATTTACATTCCACAAGAAATGTGGAATCCAACTCCAAAAAATGCATGATACTGTTCATAAGGCTCTGGAAACTAATCAGATGAAGAGAATTACAACCTGAGGAAAATTCCTCTGATGGAGGAGGAGAGCCCTGATGGCATAAGGTCCTTCCCACCACCCCTAATAGTCTTCAATGACAGAAGACAGCCGGGAGGTACATGGTTAGCAAAAGTAGCTTTTCCCTTCAGGGATTCTAAGCTCCTGGCAGCATTTTTTTCAAAGCACATACAGATGAGCTGAACTTCCTCTGCATTCTAATCCCAGATCAGGCAAGTTGTCTAAGATGTGAAGACAGACTTCAAGCCAGAATTAACAATGGAACAGCAACTGTCAAGTTTTAGCGCCAAGAGCATCCAACCATAGGTACTGAAAAAAGTAGGGGTAAGAAATCTGATTTAATATCCTACCTGCTTGGGTGCTTTAGATCAGAGGTTTCTAACCTTGGCAACTTTAAGCCTGGTGGACTTCAACTCCCAGAATTCCCCAGCCAGCTTTGCTAGAATTCTAGGAGTTCAAGTCCACCAGGCTTAAAGTTGCCAAGGTTGGAGACTCCTGATTTATATCAGTGGTGGCCAACTGGTGGGATGCTGTGGGCTGCGAGAAAATTTTGGTGGGCAGCAGAGAAATCTCACCCCCAGAACACCCCCACAAAGCAATTAATCCAGGTTGCACAGAAACACAAGGCTGTGCCGCCCACATGGCCCGCAGGAACACTCCCCACCCAGTCACTCCTTACCCGGCAAACTTGCCTGCTAAATTGCTATTTTTCCTTTTTTCGACCATCAGCTGTTCTGCTCTGCTTGGAGATTTAGATTAGCTAGGAAGCAGGAAATGGTTGGATTTCTTGCTTTCTAGCTAGTCTTTAGATCTTTGCCTCTGCTTTTAAGCACAGCCAAACCTCCCTTAGGAATGAAGGTTCTATTATTCACTGCAGACTGACGGGAAGCAAATTTTATGTGACAGACTGAGCTAGCCGATGGCAGATAGATAGAACACTGAATGATTCTGTGAGCAACTGCCTGCTTTGCCTGATTTTGGGCAAAAGTTGCTTTTTTTGATAAAAAAAAATCAATATTTATATCAATATTTATAATATTTACATACAAGCCATGCCCAGCCAGTCACACGACCAAGCCACACCCACAAATTAGGCCAAGCCCACAGAACCGGCTAATGGTCCCTGGGATTTAAAATTATGAGTTTGGTGGTCCCTGAGGTCCAAAAGGTTGGCGACCCCTGCTTTAGATGACATCCCATATAAGGGAAGGCAGCTTAGGCTTTGAAAAATACCCCAAATAACCATGCTCCATTTGAGGTGAAATGAAGAGTAGCCTTGGATCGGGCTCCTTTACCCAGGCAGCGAGACACATGAGGACTTCCAGATCTCTATGGAAAGTCAATTTATGCAGTACAGAGCTGGGCTACCTATTTCCTACCTTGCCTAGCACCAGTCACCTTTAGCAGTCCAGCATCCCCCCACCCTGAAGGAAGCAGGGAGCAACTACAGCATAGCTACTCTGTACAAGATAGATGGGCTGACCTGGTGACTTAGATTAGGTCTGTAAGGCAGAATCCCCCACCCTTAGCGTAAAGGGAATAGCTTTCTTTGCACTTTTGAACTTCTGGTTTCCTAATAATACCTGATTCCAATGATCTGTAGTTTGCTCCAAACAGCTTTTCGGAAGAAAAAAAGTAAATTTTTTTGAAATGCTGTCTCTGTGATATAGAAGAAAGACCGGAGCAGCTCTGAAACATAGCAGTCCATCAGCCAGTACAGGAATTTAGACATCAGCTCCTCCCGAAAGCGATGTTCAGAGGCAGGAACAGAATGGCCACTTTCTACAGGGACAATCCAGATTTAGTGACAATCAATAAGATTTCTGTTCTTGCTAGAAGCATCTATTCACATTATCTTCACAACCAACTTAAAGGTTAAGTTAAGGAAATTCCAGATAAAATTATGCAAACCATTAAGTAATCACTGTGAAATGTCTAATGTGAATGTTTTTAGAGTGGGTAACAATGCTGCATTATAAATCAAAGATGTAATTGTATGTACACTTCTCTCCAATGCATGCACTAAATCTTATAGTAGGAACATCAACTTATTCTGCCAAAGAAGTCAGAATCTGGAAAAAAAAACACGCCCTTTTCAAACAAGCAGGCACTCTAATAAAATGTCTCTTATTTACAAGACTAATTTACACGTATAATTAAGAATGTGAAAGTAACATTTGAAAGTTTTTTCAAAAATAAAAGTGATATCCTGAGGATATCCCTGTTAATACCTTTGGTGAGACGAAGCCAAGCACAATCATTGACTCTCATTTTCCATGTCAATTCCTCCAAAGAAAACGCGGCAAATTTCCCCAAGGAGATAAACTTCTTCACATTTCTGTAGAAGCGGCACTTGTTGTGGTTTGAACCCCAAAGCGCAGGAGGCACCACTCTCTCTAAGCATCCCCTCACAAAAGTATATACTTGCCAGTGACTGCTATACTGCTTCAACAACGTTATGAAATCAGAACTGGAGGAATCTTGTTCCTTATCTTTTTTTTCAAACAACTCCATTCTTTCAGAGCTTCTGCTTGAAGCACCGGTTTCTGAAAATGGGTTCAAGGCACCTGAGCTGCTTGCCATGCAACCTTTTACTGGATTACCCTGCTGCCTCTCTGGTGAAATTTCTCCTTGGGGACCATTTTGTTTGAAACGCTGCTCTCCTAGGCTTATCTTGTCTGGTTCAGAAACTGAAATGGGACAATTCCTTTTTAATATTGCTTGATAGGGACACTTTGCATGGTTCCGTAAGAGTTCTTGGAACACCCTTCTCATCTGCCAATAGCGTTTCGGAACCCTCTTCTTTTTCTTGGGACCATTTTGAACGCTGGGACTGCCAGGCTGCTTCAGAATCTTACTGCTAAAGAATACTTGTTCTACTAAGCATTGTCCTCCTCTTGGATTGCCCTTCAAGTGGTTTAATACAAACGACTTAGGTAAACACTCTTTCAAACGCTGGTAGGAATATAAGAGAGAATGTCTCTCAATGTGCGCTACAGGAATGCTACTGTAAGACTTCTTGACAGATTTAGATGAGCAAATTCCAAGGTCTTTTTTTGGTAAAACCGTTTTTGCAAGCCCCAGTCGGACTGAACTAATATCAGAGGTTCCAGTTACCAGCTTTGGCAGTTTAGCATTGCATGTTGGCTGCAGATTGGATTCACTGAGTGTTTTACTTATACTATCTTGCTTTCCACATATCAAAGCCCTTTGATTGTCATTAGTTGCACTAGGTTCCCCAGATATTTGTACCCCACCATTCTGAGGAACAGAGTTCATAAGAGTTAATCCTTTTGAACATGATTGTATACATTCCGTAGAAGTCTCAGGTTTATCACAATCTAAAATCAGCTGATTTTGTTCTTTTCTAGAATCTGGGTTTCTTGTTTTTTTTCCTACATTGTCCTCATTTATCATGGTTTTTATTTTCTTGACATTAATTGTATCACACTGGCCTGTCCGCTTTCTTTTTAAACACTGTGTTCTTAATGATGGGCTAAGAGAGGGCTTTTGTTGCTTTTCTATGTGTTCACTGGTTGTCATAATTTGCTTTTTCTTTGTAGGATTTTGGCCAGGAGCACTCTGAGCTACCGAAGACGATTGATTGTTGTGTTGTTGCGTTTTGTTCCATTTCTCCCTTTCAGAATTCGATTTCTTCCGCTCTGTTTTTCTGGGATACCACCTACAAGACTGAAACCTTTTGTGGAGATAAGTTGTTAGGATACAAGGTGAAGGCCCATGAATCTTCTGTCTAAGAAACTTTGGAGGCCGTGTTGCATATCTTGAAGGAAGGTCATAGATGGGCTCTCCACAAATTTGGTAACAGCAGCTAGGAGGCACAACGAGAAAGAGAGCACAGTGCTCTAATAAATACATCATGACATCATCCCCAACTCTGTTTAGAATGATCTCCCAGAGCACATTCTGTCGAATAGTTTCTGTTGAACAATTAAGCATGTAGCTATGGATATTTGGTATATAATTACTTTCATTCAATAGGCTATAACCAAATGCCAACACATTCTTTTTCTTCTTTTGACAAATTCTATGAATGATTCGTGCAAGGACATCATCCTGACAGGAAACCTGCAAAATAACAAAAAAGCACCTTTCTAGCAAAATTTTGAATAAAATCACAAATGTCATTAATTATGTAGAATTGAATAGAAATGCAAGGAAAAAATCCTACTTTATTCAACAGTGGATAGCTGTTATGTGCTCATTGACTGTATCACTTTATTAAGAATCACCTTATGATTCTTGATGAATGTATCTTTTCTTTTTATGTACACTGAGAGCATATGCACCAAAGACAAATTCCTTGCGTGTCCAATCACACTTGACCAATAAAGAATTCTATTCTATTCTATTCTATTCTATTCTATTCTATTCTATTCTATTCTATTCTATTCTATTCTATTCTATTCTGTTGAATACCCACATGTAATGAAAAAATATTTCCACCACACGTCTCAATGTAACTTGAGCATTTCCTAATAACTGCATATACAACACTTTTTTCATTTAAAGCAGGAAGGAATATCTCAGTCAGATAAGGTTAGCTATAGAGCTGGATACTGGCATGGTAATCTTGAACTCTACAAGCATACATTGAAGTCTGTGGTACTTCTGGTAGCAAATAAAAATGGGCAAGAGCTCCTTACAACATTTCTAATCATAATTGTATCTAGAGTCTAGTAAAAACTGAGAAAAGTCACTCATTTATACTAATAAAAATGTAGGATTACAATACCTGCACGGCTTTGGACCTACTGTCCAAGACTGGAAAAACTGCAAGAAATTATAAGAAGTCCATGTTAAATTAATTAAAAAGGGGGTAACCTCCAGCTATTACCTCCCTCCTGAAAGGCCGTGCACCTCACAGGCATATCCAGAGATAGTCTATTCAAGATACAGAAAGATTAGCCATTAGAGGCTTTCCTAAAACCAACTTTCCTAAAATAAAAATGGGAAATGCCACTACTTCTCATTGATAAAAGGAACATTGGAAAACCAAAGGAGGCCTTGGGATGTCTGAAAGAAACTAAGAAATAGGTATGACCCTGAAACAAGACCATCAAGTAGAAAACCAGACACTAATCAAGGAACTACAACTCCCCCACCCACCCCCAACACTGGCAGGGCAAGCCATTGTATATAAACAGAGAGCAAACCACACACTCACTAAAAATGATGACATTATGTCGTTGGGTGAAGAAGCATCTACAAGCAAATAACCAATCTCAGAGAGTGCCAAGGTGCAGTTCCTCCCTGAGCTACATATATTCTCCAACTGGAACGATTACTTATATATTATCTCACCAGATTTTTCTTTCTTTCCATTAAATGGCTGCTTTCATTAGCTAGCCATGGCCACTACACCACAAACAGTCTTAGGTTCCCAAAGCCCACCTTTTACTCTTTAGCATTTTTAAGCAGATCTGTATATAACTTCACATAACTCTATTGGTTAAAAACAGTGCACCACGGACCCCTCATTTCAACCCTAGCTACAAATATTATCCTTTATTGGTAAAACAGTGCAGTCTACAATAGGCAGAAGGAGAAAGCCCAATTCAAGCAGCGGGGAGGAATGGAAAGAGCAAATTGTGCAGGAACCAGAACACATATTAGGAATTTCTCGAGGGAAGAAGCCCTTTCTGCATTTTCCCGCAGACAATACTTGGCTGACTCTTGAAACACAGCGGGTACCAAGTGGCGAAATAAGTTATCGTCCCCCAAATGCAGGCTGCTTTTGGGGGGAGGAAAGGAGGGCCGGTGGGACCGAAAGTAATCCGGGTCAAACGTAAAACCAGCTCAATTACCTGCTGGACGCCGAAGTAGGTAGGGAGGGCCTTGCACTCAGCCAGCCGCCCCACCAGGCACTGGGCGACCAGGCTACAGTAACTCCCGGGATCCCCGTCCTGCACGAGAGGCTGCGGCTGGCCCTGTGCAAGAGTGTGCATCTGCAAGCGCCGCACAAAGACTTCCAGCGGCAGCACTTCCGCGTAAAAGCTGCACAGCAGCTCCCGCACAGCTCTCCATCGCCGGGATCGGTCCATGCAGGCGTCGAGAGAAGCGATGCACGGAGGCTGAGAGAGTGAGCGCCGGGACCAGCGCGTTTTCCGTAGTCCCCTGAAACCCGACTCGCCTCCCTTATTGGCTCTTCAAGGTGCCAGAAGCCACGCCCTTTAAGGCAAGCCCGGGAAAAGTTTCCGCTGGGTTTGTGTGTTTGTGTGCAACCGTTTCTCTAACGCGAGCTGAAGTCCTTCAGGCTTAAACCTGCCAAGGTTGGAGACCGCTGCTCTAACGCAGTGGTGGGTGACGGGGGAGGGGAGGGGAGGGGGTGCATGTACACTCCGAATGCCAGCATTTGAGAGCTCCTGCTGTGTAACACTATAGAAAACCTACAACAGATAGGAATGTAGAGACTGATGACCAAGGGCACCGAATTAGGGAAAGGGCGAGTGGGCAGTCATAGATGAGGTGGAATGGGCTGCTCCTGGTACAGTTAGTCCTCGGCTGACAGGTACTCATTGAGTGACTGTTTGAAGTTACATCACTGAAAAAAGTGGCTTAAGACTTGTTTTTCCACAATAACCCTAACCGTTGCAACAACCCCATGGTCATGTGATCAAAATTGGGATACTTGGCAACTGGTACATATTTATGATGATATTTATGGTATATATTTATGATATTTATGTTGCAGTGTCCCAGGCAACCTTGTGACAAGCAAAGCCAATGGACAGATTCATTTAATAACTGCAGTGATTCACATAACCACTATGGCAAGAAAAGTCGTAAAATGAGGCAAATTCACAACAGTCTCGCTTAGTAACATAAAGGTTGGGCTCAATTGTGGTCATAAGTCAAGGACTACCTGTAGTGAAATATTCTTAGTGAGGTTTTAAGTTTGTTCAAAGCAACCTGGAGGACGAGATAAGCAGATTTGCTGAGCACATGCCAAATAGGACCAGCAAGCAGATACCTGGCGAAGTTTTTGTCTGAAATATGATATTCATTGACCATTGTTGAGAAGATAAAGGTAGTGGAGGCTACACAATGTGAGTGGTTATAAGATGGCTGCTTAGATTCAAAAGAAAGCAAAATAAATAATGTCACGATTCATATTTAGTGATAATTCAGAAATGACCCAATGTCCAACAAATTTCTTTCTGGGAATCTGGGTAAGGAGTCTAATCTCTTAATTGTACTTTTCCAGGACTGGGGAGTAATAGTGAATGAATCAAGATTGTGTTATATTTTCTGCTTATTTAAAACAATTATTTGTTTCTAGGCAGGTAAGTTTCAATCAAATTTAACTGGCTATAAAATGTAGGTGCGTGTAAAACATCAGATCTTTCTTGATTCTTTTTTACACTGTGACCTAGCTGAATTGCAGCTTTCCTTAACTTCAAGGAATTAGGAACTTTCTTCAAAGAACACCAAACACTAAGGGATACTGCCTTAGTTTTTCTTTCACTGCTCTTTTAAGCAGTGACTTTGCAAGCTTAAGTAGCTTTCAGTGCCTTTTTATAAAAAACAAAAACCATATTCTACCCTCAGCTGCTGTGCAGAAGTACTGAAGCACTTTTCTTCCTTTTTGAGAGCTAGTGGGGTGGTTTAGACCCATATTTCCTCTTCTTGGTCCTAAGGCCATCTCAATACTATTCTTTCAGCTTTGATTTCTTCTATTTGTCAGGTGAGAGTATTAGTAATATATTCTCTAGGATGCCCAATGAATATTTGAGTGTGTATGTGTGAATTCTCTAATAGTTCATACAAGTGAACTGCCTCACATCTCTGCAGCCAGATTTTAGTATACATATTAAGCAAGTGGACCCATATTATAAGTGCCATAATGGAAAAGTAGCATCTTGCCTCTTCAATTTGGGCAATGCTATTTATAATTCTCCCATCCTTGACACATTATTTGCAAATCAGGACTGTCTAGAGGCTGCTACTTCCTATCTTGTAAGAAAGTCCAACTTTCAACTGTTCCCTGAAATGCATTTCCAAATCAAAGGTAAAGTGTGAAATTTCCACTAAATTGATTCTTCGCAGCAATATAATCAGAATCTGAGGTTGAGAAATACCATAGTGTGGATGTATGTGTTCATATATATGTGTGTGTGTGTGTGTGTGTGTGTGTGTGTGTGTATGTATGTGTGTGTGTGTGTATGTATGTATGTATGTATGGTTTGGTTATTCGGGTTTTCTCCCACGTAAAATTGGAAGTATCTAGGCGGCGTTTCAATGAAGTCTCATTCATCATCTTCAGGCTTGTGTCTTCGACTTTGTGCTTCTCCGAGTAATGTGAGCTTGCAGCTGCTTCTTCCTTTTAACTGCTAGTGGGGGTGTGACTTGATTGGGTGGGGGCTTGGCTGTGTTCTGATTGGATGGGGGTGTGTTCTCATTGGTTGGGGGTTTGGCTGTGTTCTGATTGGTTGGGGGGTTGGCTGTGTTCTGATTGGCTGGGGGTGTGTTCCACGTAAAAAGCAGACTCACACCCACACAGAAGATGAGACACGACCATGGACCAGAAACCGTACCACAGCTGCATCCCTACCCACTTCAAACCCCTCCGACCCATACATGAAGCGAACTGACACCCACCATGAAGATGTGGCACGACCACGAACCCAAACAACAGGATCACAGCTCACCAGCTCAAATCCCCCAGCAACTAAGACTAACCTGAGCACAACCAAGCCCCCACCTGAACAGAACACACCCCCAGCCAATCAGAACACAGACAACTCCCAACCAATGAGAACATCCCCCCACCCAATCAGAACACAGCCAAGCCCCCACCCAATCAAGTCACATCCCCACTAGCAGTTAAAAGGAAGAAGCAGCTGCAAGCTCACATTACTCCGAGAAGCACAAAGCCGAAGACACAAGCCTGAAGATGATGAATGAGACTTCATCGAAATGTCGCCTAGATACTTCCAATTTTACGCAGGAGAAAACCCGAATAAGCAAAGATCCATACACACACACATATTAACATTTATTTCTATACAGTGTGGAGGAAACAAACATAATTGACAGGATTAAAAGGTAACCAGATCTTTCTCATATTACCAATTACATTTCTAATTAAAATTTAAAACAAACTATTTTCATGTAAATCACATAGCATTTGCATTGCGAGTCATTTAACCAAGTAATTATATTTTGTAGTTTCCAACATTAGTCAAATAAATTTGTAATATTAATAATTCTCTCAAGATAGTTTTTATAGTGGAATCTTTAAAAAGTGCATATGGTTACATCATAACAATATTTCTCCCATTTAGTAATTTAAATGCTGCTGTTTATAAATAAATAAAAGTAAAATGAAACCTTGGGAGTGACCCAAAACTGCCAATTAAAGTTAGATTCAGGCAAAATTAGTGATACTTTAGTCCCATAATCAATGTTAAATTAGTCATTATTTATTTATTAATCTGAGTGGGATTGAATCAGGGTTGGGTTTCTACCGGTTCTGTCCACCTCTGTAGAACCGGTAGCTCTGAAGAGCAGCAGACATGTCTGCCGATGTTTTTGCCCACTCACCCACCCGGGCTCTTACCTGATCTTTATTTCCTGATTTTTCAACTTCAGCTGCCAAAGGAGGCAAAGCTGCAGTTAGAAAAGCAAGAAAAGAGGGCTGTTTCAAAGGCTGCTTCTCTGCAGACAGCTGCTGCTGACGATTTACAGGCGTGTGGTTCGCAGCCTGCAGGGAAGCTCGTAAATCCCGAACCGATAGTTAACCCTGTCATATCCCACCCCTGGATTGAATATAACTACTTTAGACTGGAAATCATTTTCAGCAAACAATCCTAATAATCTAAAACCTGATATTTGAGAATTAAGTGCCAGTAGATTTCTGGAATTCTAATAGGGGAAAATACACATGCATGTTCAGCACTATTGAAAGCAAAACCTTTTGGCAATAAAGTCACTACAGTATTAAACATATTCAAATCTCATTCAAGTCAGTGGCCTTAAGCATGCATAGCTAGGCACAAAATGGCAGCCCTGCCTCCTCTTCCCCCCATTTCTTCATGTGGGACACATGACCCCACAGGAATTCTTATGACTGTTTTCCAATGTTCTGTGTTTGAGAAGTAAAAGGCAATTCCATAGATTAGATGTAACTATTTTATGGGAGTCAATGGGGATTGGTCTTGAAAAGAACATGTAGCACAGCAGTTCATGCCACAATCTAAATGGTTTTTTAAACTTGCATTTTGAACATGCTTAAAATATATTTCACATGAAATATAAACATTATTTAATAAACACAGCATCCCAATTTATAAAAAGGCTCATTATAAAAAAATTAAGCCCCTGCACCAAAACAAAACATGGTAATTGGGCAGTTACAATTTCCTTACCAGTAGAGTTCAAACTGATCTTCCTTTATGAATCTTTGAGATCTTTATTTTTTGCCTGTCTTTTGCTTTAGACCACTCTTCATTAGGGTTTATATTGTTATACAGTGAAAAAGATCTACAGTCTCCCTGCCGAAGTATCATTGGCACAATAGTGTGTCATGCAACTATGTATTTACATTCTTCTAAAAACATGTTTTTGACTGAAAATGTAATGACTTTTCATCTTAGAAAAAAGATCCTGTTTAGTGGAATCAAGAAATTCCAACTATAGGATTGAACAAAAGCATTTTGCTGTGTGTGTACCAAAAAAATCCATTCCCCAAACTACAGAATACTATTTGCTGCATGTACTTAGTTGATTTATGCTAATAGTTTTTTTTAAAGTTACACGCTTTGCATCCAGGACCAGCTTAGAATGGTTTTAAATGTACCATTGAGAGTACATGTCTTCATATGGTTGCTGCCACAATTAGGTTCATATAAGAAGCATAGCTGACATTGTTAAAAAAATGAAATGCTCACATCAGGAAATACAGTACAAAATAAGGAACACAACCCAGCCAACCAAATATTTTTAATCCTTATGATTTCAAAGAGTGAGTGAGGAATGTACTCTCTCTAAAATCATAAAAAGGCTGGAACACGCCAAGGATTGGTCCAAAACCTTTTTACAG